GTATTCAGTATTCATTCAGTATTCGTTCAGTATTTATTCAGTATTCATTCAGTATTCAATCAGTATTCATTCAGTATTCATTCAGTATTTATTCAGTATTCATTCAGTATTTATTCAGTATTCATTCAGTATTTATTCAGTATTCATTCAGTATTCATTCAGTATTCATTCAGTATTCATTCAGTATTCATTCAGTATTCATTCAGTATTCTGTATTTATTCAGTCTTCATTCAGTATTCATTCAGTATTCATTCAGTATTCATTCAGTAATCATTCAGTATTCATTCAGTATTTATTCAGTATTCATTCAGTATTAAATATTCATTCAGTATTCATTCAGTATTCAGTATTCGTTCAGTATTCATTCAGTATTCATTCAGTATTCAGTACTTAGTATACTACCTGATGGAGATCTGATATAATTAAAGAAAGTAGAAAATATATAGACAAGTCTAGATAAGAGATTGAATTGTTGTCAAATACATTACACAGATGTTACGGCTATACAATGACGTATTATTCTTGAGGCTGTAGAGTAACCATTCTGAGAGTGTTCTTTATAAATTAGATTTCATATAAAACAGTCAGTGTTACGTGACCGACTACAGTCAAAAGAATTAAAAACAGTACACTTAACATTAAATTGAATAATAATTAGGTGAAGTAGAGACAAATTTTACGCAACACACAACTGAACGCCAAGTAGTAGTGTAAGATACGTTCCGGGTGTTGTCCAAAACTGTACACTCTAGTTAAATTTAGCTAGCACATAAGTCATTATATCACTTTATCAGTACATTGTACAAAGGTCGCCTCGAACCAGATGTTCATAATGCCGATAGACAACTGATTTAATTATACGTGAACGTGTACACTATACATTTAACGACTTCTGCTGTGTGAAGTGAGCACCACACAATCACAATTAATTAAATGATTCTTTGTGGCAATCGTAGATATCGAAGTGCACACTCAACTACACTCTGCTACTAGAGTAAACAGACATATTCATTGACACTGAATTACTTCACAGAAAACAAAAGAAAAGGAGCATCTGTATGACGGGGTACACTTGTCCACGATACTAGTCAATTTAACAATAGAAGGAAGTTGGCACCTGTTCAATTGATGATTCCAAGCAGAACACCTGCTCGAAGGGATACACTTGTCTACACTACTAGTCAACTTGATCATACTTTTATTCCTATGTACGGTTATACTGTAACATGAGGATGATCGTCGACTCTTTCTACTTGATAGTCAATCAGTAAACCATCCGAGCAGGTGTTCTGCAGGAGCCACCAATTGAACAGATGACACCTTCCTCCTACAATACTAAATGCAAAAGTTATATATATATAGGGAGAAATTATAAAATCTTTCCTTGTATTTTACAAAGCATAGTTGTTGGTGATTAGTGGTGCAGTTGAATTATGTGACCCGAACCTGTAATGTAAAAACACTTCAAGAACCATTAAATCCTTATATGGTATAATTTTACTCAAATTTCATATTATGAAAGCTATAAGCATGTCTTAATGTGTGGAATAATTCTACACTCCTCACGATGCTCTTGATCTAGGAAGAATGCGTTTTGCTGTAGTGTGCCACACTCCACATGAACACATAGCGGGGAAAGCCAAGAGCAAGTCTATTAGCTCAGGATAACAACAATTTCAGGAAAACAACAATTTTATTTAGTATCAATTAAAGCAAACAAAATAATATTTTATATATAACTATCAGGACCTTTATACCAGAAATCTAAGGGGACTTGGAGTAGCAATAGAGTGGCTAGAAGGTACATATACCTTTAACAAAAATACGTCAAAAAGAATCCAGGGTGGTACAGGATCGGAGAGTGCAGACCATGTAGTTTACGCACCCACCCTTGCCTCCTAAATTCTTGGTTGGATAAGCATTTATGCGAACTTGGTCGTTTATACTCCAAGTCCCTGCGTTGTAAAAGTTTATTTGTTTTAAAAAAAAAAAAAAAATTTAACTTCATTCAACAATAAAAATATCAATATAAAAATCAAATAAATTAAACAATCGAATAAATTATCAGTTATAAATTTGATTTGATGAAAAATTTGTGATATAAGATAAATCGTTAAAAACGCCCAAAATAGATCTAGATCTAAGAGCTTTTCAGCTTATAGCACAATCATGATAGTAATAGTAAGTAGGTATGTGCCGCTGCAATTACTGTAATTTAAAATTGCTTGGAGTCCAAGTATCTTTTAAGTCAGCTGCCTGTGATTGTAGTAATAGTGCTTTGGTTCTCAGCTTTATCAGGTTAATGGAAGTTTCTAGGTAATTGCTTGAGGTAAGGATTATTTTTATAAACAATATTCCAAAGCTTGGCTGCATTAAACAAGAAAGTATTAGATTTGTTTAGAAGAATAACCGTTAAACTTGTTGCACGGTTTGAGATGTTGATGGCCTCATAAAGAGAGTATGGGCAGTGATACTTTATAATCTTAGAGAATTCTGAAATACAGTAGTATTTGAATAAGTTTTGAACCGTTAGAATTTTTAGTTTATTAAAAATGGGTTTTGCACGCTCCTTTTCGTAGTGTTTATAGCCTAGTTTTTGCATGCTGTAATTTTGAAAAGGAGTCAAATATATCCAGACATTATAGTGATAAGTTTGACTAGTGGCGTCTTATATATTTTCAGCTGTTTTAATTGAATCAAATTTCTTCCAAAATATTTATAAACAATTCCATTTGTATTCAAATTACAAGTTATTATCTTTAACAGGGCATACAGACGATGTCGGATCACCTTTGGGCCGGCGAAATACAGAGAAACGGCAGGGTCGTCTACGAGAGCGGCCGGTGAACTATTTATTATTTCGTATTTATAATATTTATATAGACATATCGGTGTTTTATTTATATCTAGAGACTGTCCGAATAGAACATGAATCATTAAATATTTCCGAAAAGTATGTTGTAGACATAATATGGTGAAGGTTTGTGGTTACGTTTTAATATGATTAAACTATTGTAGTTTCTTAAATACCTGTAACCGATTAACGTTAGTTATAACGGTTATCGTAACAAAAGCAGTCCTTCGGGGAAGTAGACCAGGCGGGATTCGAACCCACATGTTCCCGCAGAGGAAAGTTACCGTTAACTCACTAGTCTGAGGCCCCAACCGGACTGCTGCATAATCAAAATTACGAGTGTACTTATGGCAGTATAAGTGATTATAAATACCAAGCTCGTTGGACCAGGTGAGCTCCCATGCTTGTGAAACTAAATGTGAATTTGCGTGTGATGTGAGTGTGACTGTAAAATAAAAGATATAAGCATTGGTCTCTTACTTATTAAAGTGCTCGTCTGTTAAGCTAGTTGTCTCATCTCTCACTTTTCCTTGCAAAGAGAAATCTTTAGGAGAAACCGATCCAAACATTATACTTATAGTTGCATGTGACACTGTATCACTTTCTATATTAATATAGAAGCCGCATGAGAGTGCAGTAGTGATTATATATAATAAGCTCCCAAGGCGAGTCACGCGGCCGTTTCCTTACGTCAGCTGACCTCTGGCTCTATATAAATCAACATTACACATCAAGTTATAAGCAATCCACGTGATCAACTTTAACCAATCAGAAGACATACAGCCGCGTGATATGACGCTGAAAACCAATCAAATGGTCATATTTTGCCGGACTGCTGCATAATCACAATTACGAGTGTACTTATGACATTCAAAGTTATCGCGAAAGTCACGTGATTGTTTCCTACATCAGCTGACCTCTAACTCTATATAAACCGACATTACACAGCAAGGCGAGTCACGCGACCGTTTCCCTACGTCAGCTGACCTCTGGCTCTATATAAATCAACATTACACATCAAGTTATAAGCAATCCACGTGATCAACTTTAACCAATCAGAAGACATACAGCCGCGTGATATGACGCTGAAAACCAATCAAATGGTCATATTTTGACTCATGTGACAACTGTGCAGAATAAATAGGATATCGATATTGTACAGCACCCAGATCACTACTAGTATCCGTTGATTCACGATGTCAATCCTTCGCATATCGCCGATCTGCATCTGTGGTTGCGAGAAGCATTATTTGATGCGCGCGCGACCCAGTAGTGCATCGCGCTACAAGAGTATCCGTTAACGATCTTGAAGTTGAAGGGTTGACATCGTCAATCAACATGTTTGGTTACGTGTTACGATCGGTGATACTGATAAGATGAATATGAATACCTGCACTCTCGTCCCTCATGCTCATCTCCAAAGTTTAATGCTTCGACTAATGAGTGTAAGAGAAGAAAAGGTTTGACATCAGATTTTGATTTTTATAAACAAGTGGCGAGTATTATATATGGAGTAGAGCACTTGCAGTTATTTCCTATTTAGGCGACTTATTGGTTTAACAGGCGGGATTCGTTTTAATATTGTTATGTTTCCTAATTAATGTTAGAGCAAAGAAAGCTTAATAAGATAATTTAATTATAATTATAACCCTCTATATTGTAAACTATAAGTATAATTGATAATCTTAATGGTTTTGGACCGGGCCGCATTTTAGCTTGCTTGCTAGTCTATTATATTATTATATTGCTCGCTTCTCTCACGTATACTATACATGACAGTATCTCGAAAAGAGCGCCGTGCATAGGGACAGGTTGCCTCACGTTGTAGGCCCGCCGCGCGGTTGTATCATGACTTTCACCCTGATACTAAGTGAAATGACAATGGGGGTCACGACGTGATACAAGGGACAGGCTCACCAGTCACCGCGTAAGGCCGCTGGCCGCATTGCATAATGCACTATGCAATGAATGTAGCCGGTGAAATGCACAGACACAAGAGCCCCAAGCTCGCAAAGAGATGTATAATAATCGATATCATGACACATAGTGGAACTCTAACTGTAAATTTGTAGATTGCAAGCTGTGCTGACAAGTTACACAACCAATCACTTAAAATAAAGCGGGGTAAAATTGAAAATGCGAGGATTATTTGGTAAATGACATAATTACTATTGCAATAGCAATTCAATAAAAATCAAAATAAAAATTAACTTTAAGAGAAACATCTCAGAAACTTAAAATTAGTGAAACGTCTCGAACCAACTTTATAGTGACGACCATATCAAAAATATCGATTGTTACATTTAATCAGACTACTTTTGATTCACAACGATTAATTTAACACTTTCAATTCCCGGTATGATAATAAATTGGCAGACTCGATGATCGAAGTTTAAAATAATTTGAATCAAGGATCACGACAGTATCTGTACACCTAATCCTAGACTTAAAACTCTCGGCAAGTTGTGCTTACCATTGAGCTTCTCAGTCTTACCCAAACGTATGTACAAAAATATCAAATTATAGTTAGTCACTCCACTCGCGATCATCTAGATGGTTACTAGGTACAGCTAAGTAACTAAGTTATGCCCTGGTTACTTAGTAACGCCCTGGATACAAAGTAACGCCCTGCTTTCTAGTTACTTTCGTTACGTGGTCACTAGTAAAATCGGAGTGAATATCAAAATGGTGAAAAGATTTCAATTATCAAAAGATATGCCAGAAATAAATTACAAGAAAAAAAAGGTACCCTTCTTTCAAGTTTCGGCTGCTCTAAGATCAGTTATTGTGACTGCATAATTATATAATTAGGGTAGCAATATTAGTTGCTTGAAAGAAGAGTTCCAAATAAAGGGTGAAGGTAAGGTGGAAGGCTGATGCCTCTAACCCAACCCTCCATTACAAAATTTCTCTCCACTGACTCCTTCAATATTTACAATAATTTAAAATAAAGCCTTTTATGGACTTGACTACGGGTGGGTATATGATGCTGGTTTGTTTTCGTGAGCGACAGTTGTTCACCAATCATTTTGCAGAATCTAGAAATCAAAACGAATCGGCTGTCGCTGTCCCAAATAAACCAGTTATCACCAATTCCTCCATTGTAGTCGAGTTTATTAATTAACGGGGATGTAAATTCTCAACTGGACTGAAACAGAGCACTCATTAATCAACGGTAAAATACTTTAAGTAATTATAATAGTTAACAGAAAATGAGTTATTACTTACAGCATGAGAATAAATAGATGCTCCGTTTCGTAATTACAACCAACACCATCTGTGACAAATACTATGGGGAAAATAACAGAGAGGATATTATAACAACAAAACTGTGAACATGAAACGGAATAACAATATATTATATGGAAACATGATCGTGTGAGAGAACAGTTAGATTTGAAATTAAAGGAAAATTCAAATGCGGTCCGGGGGCGGATAAAAATAAGTTGGTTACAATATCAAGTTTAAATGTATTAATTAAAGTCTTTTGATTTTATAAGAAAAGTTGTGTCGGCGAATCTTTGGACGACGTATTATTATCATCAACTTCTTTCCACTGGTCCACAAAGAGAAATAAAACATATTGAACGTTAGACAAGAAGTTTAAAACATATAAGAAACGGTCAAGTTCGCTCTCGTTAAATTTAACTCTTTCACGTTTACCACCACTTCAGTGCAACAACTTTGACTTATAATGCTCGATAGTAACGGCAGCAATCCTCTGAGGCACCTCAGCCACTGCAAAGAGCATGCTCGTGGTGTGACGTATCACGCTTATTGCGTGACGTATCACGCAATACATATCGTTATCTCAGATCTCAGGTTGACGACGATCTCCGATTGGATGGTCTAAACTGGACAGATGATCAAAAAGGACACAGTTTCCACGTCCCGTCCACCTTATCTCGGTTACAGGTTCTCTGTAGAGCCTTCGCCCGTGAGGGGCACGCTGACGTCGGACAATGGCTCCTTTAAACTGGAGTAGCCGTCGTCCCGTATCCGGCCAACTCGGGGACTGCTCTGAGCGTTCCTCGGTGGTTTAGGACTGAGGTGTTTGGCGGGGCGAGGTGAGGGTGATCTGGAGAGAGAGGAAGTGTTAGAAATGGTCATCAGCTGGTTGGTGGGCTGAATTTCAACCAATTAATGTGTTAACTTGTTAGTTCATCTACTCAACCATTGTCAGTTAACTTAAACGTAAAACTCGAGAAAATGGTACCTATTGTAAGGGAATTTGTTCTTGTTGTTCTTGCTGGATTGTTTGGAATGTTCTAGAAGGGACTGCGTCAGTTCTCCCTCTAACAAAGTGTCTGCGTTCGAGTACTCTGGTTGTTGTTCGAGGTCTGCGTAGTCACTCCCGTTCCCCATCTTCACATACCTGAGGTAAGGGGAGGTAGTTAAGCGATTGAAGACCGGTTAACCGGTATAATATATATACTTAAGGGTAGATTTTGAGGATTGTGCAGTAAAAGAGGCGTGCACTAAACAAGAATGAAGCTAAAAGTGAAAGTGAAAGACTAACCCTTGGTCCTGGCTCGAGTCTGTGCCATTTCCCTCGTCCACACTGTACTGATCGGGCACCAAGTAATCCTGCACGTAATCGTGTCTGTTCTCTATGACGCTGTTCCGTGCCGTGCTGGGACTCTCCGAGAACACATCGTCTTGGTCTGCTGTTAGCGCCGGATCGTAGTTCTGAAGAGAGACTGGTAAGTTAAAGTGAAACGCAGTTACAAGGAAGCATCTGCTCGTACTTTATTTGAAAATTTGTGCTCAAGGATCGCGTCGGTGGCATCCACCTTGTAATTTTTATGGCGGAAATGATTATATCTTTCAAATTCAACATTAAATCATAAAGTAACCTTTATTTAAGTGATCTCTACTCCACCCACCCACCAACTCTCTAATTTAAAAACCTTTTAACTGAACTCAGCAACTAAACTCTCTCTTGTGCCGGATGTAAAAGAGGTGCTCGATTTAATTACCTTGTAGTTGCTGTAAGGAGTGAGCTTCTTGAAGAAGTTTTTCATAATCATAACTTAGATCTAAACAAAATAGGTGAACAAGTGTAATGTGCTGTGTGGCGTTTCGACTGCTCACAAACTAATTCTAACAATCTTTAGGGGTGACCACAACGTTGATTATTTGAACGTGATTTTATTTCCCAATATGGTCCGCCCAAACTGTACTGAAATTGACTCCATACAAAGTGAAACTAAGAACATTCATACCTCAAATAAAAAAGGGAAAATATACATCGAATAAAAACAGCAGTATAAGTTGTAGTCAGAATCACTTTGACGCCCAGTAGATTCATTACTATTCATATGAACGTTGTACAGTTGAAAGTTGAGACAGTATGGGCTGGGAGCTGGGGCGTGGGCTTGCCCCGCCCAAGCAACATTAAAGATTAAAGTTAGTTAGCTGTAACATAATATTGACATTATTTCAGTGAATTATTGAGATGGAATGGCTGGATTGACGTGCTATGAAACACGCAGCAGCTCAAAAAAAGGGATATCAATCATAAGATAATAAATAAGGACTGGGCCATAAGCTGGATTCCAGACTGGACTGTTGATTAGATTGTAGGCTGAATAGTTTCGCAACAGCTACCAAAACCGAGTAAGGAGTATCTATAGCTAATGTGTAAAATATAATGCACACAAAGAAGCCCATACAGTCGCTTCTCAATGATGTCTGATAACACAAACTTAATCACGTGAGAAAAATCACCAGGCAACCGACCAATCGGAGGACTGGTAACCATGGAGTCCGACCAATCACAAACCGATGTGCTATCAATCTAATCTTGCAGAGCTTGCGTATAAGATGGATTAAAGAGCACGTGATTACCAGAAGAAAGCAGATTGGCTGGCCGCGGACAACACTCGCAGTAGATTGGCGCAGGCGGGACCAGCTTTATATTAGTGTCATACGTGTACCGCTAGAAAACCAATCAATACCTCCTGCCGGGCTAACGCGTCTGAACAGCCAATCAGAAGACAGGAGCAGGCAAATACCAACCAATCAAAATTCTCCAAAACTGAACACCAAGAGCCAATCAGCGGTTAGAAGACATTGGATGGTGACCACTGAGAGGCCAGTATTTGACCGAAGGTGACATGAGAGTCAGTACTCAGTTGCCTGCTTGGTAATATCAGAATATTGCAATATTTTCATTTCAGGCTACCCGCGTGCTCTTGAGGGCTATGATATGTGGGTAGATGAGGTATTATTATCATCTGAGTTCATGAAATCGTTGAAAGATTGATATCAATGAACAAAACAGGCATCCTTTAAACATTCGCCGATTCCCACAAAAATGCGAAACCAATTCGAAACCTGATTGGTCAATTGAAGAAAAAAAAGAGGCCTCTAACTGTTTCCCTTAAATAAAATGACCAGATGATTGAACCTGAGCAAGCTACGAGCGAGACAGTGTGTTTAAATGCTGTGATTGAAGCAAGCGTATTTGATCACGAGATGGTTTAGCGCTCGCCGCACTAATATACTCCCCAATATGGCATAATGGCTTTTAACCAGAGTAACGGTGTAACGGTACCCCTCCATTAGCGATATGTTCAACCCAGGGTATCAGCATTAGCGATATGTTCAATTCAGGGTATCAGCATTAGCGATATGTTCAATTCAGGGTATCAGCATAAGCGATATGTTCAACTCAGGGTATCAACATTAATTATATGTTGAACGTTAGTGATACGTTGAACTTACGTGATATGTTGAACAATATCAATATGTTGAACCCAAGGTATCAACATTCAAAGTTAGCGACATGTTAAACTTAAGGTATTAACAGTTGCTCGGAAACAACAGTAATCGTTCTTCGGAATCCGCAATCAGTCAAACTGTTCGCTATTGATATAGCGCTGTAGTCGTTAAATGTGTGTTACTGTTAGAGAGTACTGCTTAACCCATATCAACCCAACCACTCTAAACATTCGAATTTTTTGATGAAATTTGGTGTCCTGCGTCCTAAGGGGCTATCTTAGATATTGCAACAGTGATTTAAAAAAATTGTGTTTTGCTTATGACATTTTTAACCCGTCCATTTAAAAGGACAGTGAATTCTGTCCCGTCCTTTAAAAAGGACAGTGTTTGGAAAAATTACTTAACGTCCTTTATAAAGGACAGCATTGCAAATAACTGTCATTTTAAAAGGACGGCTTTCAATTTTTACTTTAGCAAGATGCTATCATGTTGTTAAATTTTCAATTTTTATTCATGATTGGATTAAGCATCAATTTTTGATATCATTGAAATACAGAAGTAATTTTCCGCGAAAACATTCAATGAATTGTGGGGTGTTAGGGAGGCTAGAGAGCCAGGGAGGTGTAGTACTGGATTGTGGGGTGTTAGGGAGGTTGCACTGGAGGGAGAGGTAGTACTGGATTGTGGGGTGTTAGGGAGGCTGGAGGGAGAGGTAGTACTGGATTGTGGGGTGTTAGGGAGGCTGGAAGGAGGAGAAGTACTGGATTGTGGGGTGATCGGGAGGCTGGAAGGAGGGGTGGTACTGGATTGTGGGGTGTTAGGGAGGCTGGAAGGAGGGGTGGTACAGGATTTTGGGGTGTTATGAAGGCTAGAAGGCCAGGGAGGGGTGGTAATGGATTGTTGGGTGTTAGGGAAGCTGGAAGGAGGGGTAGTACTGGATTGTGGGGTGTTAGTGAGGCTGGAAGGAGGGGTAGTACTGGATTTTGGGGTGTTATGGAGGCTAGAGGGCCAGGGAGGGGTGGTAATGGATTGTTGGGTGTTAGGGAAGCTGGAAGGAGGGGTAGTACTGGATTGTGGGGTGTTAGGGAAACTGGAAGGAGGGGTAGTACTGGATTGTGGAGTGTTAGGGAGGCTGGAAGGAGGGGTGGTACTGGATTGTGGAGTGTTAGGGAGGCTGGAAGGAGGGGTGGTACAGGATTTTGGGGTGTTATGGAGGCTAGAAGGCCAGGGAGGGGTGGTAATGGATTGTTGGGTGTTAGGGAAGCTGGAAGGAGGGGTAGTACTGGATTGTGGGGTGTTACCGTGTTAGGGAGGCTGGAAGGAGGGGTAGTACTGGATTGTGGGGTGTTAGGGAGGCTGGAAGGAGGGGTATTACTGGATTGTGGGGTGTTAGAGAGGCTGGAAGGAGGGGTGGTAATGAATTGTTGGGTGTTAGGGAGGCTGGAAGGAGGGGTAGTACTGGATTGTGGGGTGTTAGGGAGGCTAGAAGGAGGGGTATTACTGGATTGTGGGGTGTTAGGGAGGCTGGAGGGAGAGGTAGTACTGGATTGTGGGGTGTTAGGGAGGCTGGAAGGAGGGGTATTACTGGATTGTTGGGTGTTAGGGAGGCTGGAAGGAGGGGTAGTACTGGATTGTGGGGTGTTAGAGAGGCTGGAAGGAGGGGTGGTACAGGATTGTGGGGTGTTAGGGAGGCTGGAAGGAGAGGTAGTACTGGATTGTGGGGTGTTAGGGAGGCTGGAAGGAGGAGAAGTACTGGATTGTGGGGTGATCGGGAGGCTGGAAGGAGGGGTAGTACTGGATTGTGGGGTGTTGGGGAGGCTAGAGAGCCAGGGAGGGGTGGTAATGGATTGTTGGGTGTTGGGGAGGCTGGAAGGAGGGGTGGTACTGGATTGTGGGGTGTTAGGGAGGCTGGAAGGAGGGGTGGTACAGGATTTTGGGGTGTTATGGAGGCTAGAAGGCCAGGGAGGGGTGGTAATGGATTGTTGGGTGTTAGGGAAGCTGGAAGGAGGGGTAGTACTGGATTGTGGGGTGTTAAAGAGGCTGGAAGGAGGGGTGGTACAGGATTGTGGGGTGTTAGGGAGGCTGGAAGGAGGGGTAGTACTGGATTGTTGGGTGTTAGGGAGGCTGGAAGGAGGGGTAGTACTGGATTGTGGGGTGTTAGAGAGGCTGGAAGGAGGGGTATTACTGGATTGTGGGGTGTTAGAGAGGCTGGAAGGAGGGGTAGTACTGGATTGTGGGGTGTTAGGGAGGCTGGAAGGAGGGGTATTACTGGATTGTGGGGTGTTAGAGAGGCTGGAAGGAGGGGTATTACTGGATTGTGGGGTGTTAGAGAGGCTGGAAGGAGAGGTAGTACTGGATTGTGGGGTGTGAGGGAGGCTGGAAGGAGGGGTATTACTTGATTGTGGGGTGTTAGGGAGGCTGGAAGGAGGGGTATTACTGGATTGTGGGGTGTTAGGGAAGCTGGAAGGAGGGGTGGTAATGGATTGTGGGGTGTTACCGTGTTAGGGAGGCTGGAAGGAGGGGTAGTACTGGATTGTGGGGTGTTAGAGAGGCTGGAAGGAGGGGTGGTACTGGATTGTGGGGTGTTAGGGAGGCTGGAAGGAGGGGTGGTACAGGATTTTGGGGTGTTATGGAGGCTAGAGGGCCTGGGGGGTGGTAATGGATTGTTGGGTGTTAGGGAGGCTGGAAGGAGGGGTGGTACTGGATTGTGGGTTGTTAGAGAGGCTGGAAGGAGGGGTGGTACTGGATTGTGGGGTGTTATGGAGGCTGGAAGGAGGGGTGGTACAGGATTTTGGGGTGTTATGGAGGCTAGAGGGCCAGGGAGGGGTGGTAATGGATTGTTGGGTGTTAGGGAAGCTGGAAGGAGGGGTAGTACTGGATTGTGGGGTGTTACCGTGTTAGGGAGGCTGGAAGGAGGGGTATTACTGGATTGTGGGGTATTAGGGAGGCTGGAAGGACCGTAAATAATTTATTCCAGTGTATAACGATGGCTTTCCGGTGAAAGCAATTACTGGCCAACCTGTAGCATCACAAGACAGCACCTGCACAAGGCTGTCTTCAACACATGGCTGCACTCGCAGAGTGGAACTCCGCCATCCACTGAGGAGTGGCCACTAGAATACGAGGTGGCCACACCTTAGCTTGTTTGCTGAAGAAGGAAAGCTATCCAGACTTATCAGTTATGCTAAAATATATCACTGTGGTTGAAATGTCCTTTAAAAAGGACATGTCAAACGTAGAATCATGTCATCTCAAATAGGCGTCCTTTTAAAAGGACGCCCTTTAAAAATACTGTCCTTTTAAAAGGACGTAATTTAAAAAGGACAGCGTTCACAGAAACACTGTCCTTTTTAAAGGACACCCAAAATCTACTTCATTTAATTCAATTTAAAGAAAGTCAGTATACCCCATGTCAGGGTTTATTGAATAGACAATCATTGGGGCAATTTAGAGTATCCAAAGTTTTGATTTGCCAGGACTTAAAATTTTTCAAATTTTGCCTGAATTGAGCGACATTTGAAAGTACAATTTTTGACCATGTTTGGCTCTAGCCCATGAATTCTTTGACGGTCTAGATATTTTCAAAACATTGTCAAGTTACCTAGAAGACCTTTTCCCAACTAATACAGAAAACCAAATTAAAAAATATAAATACCTTCCGAAATTACACTGGTATTTAAAAGCCGTCCTTTTAAAAGGCCCATGGGTGAATATGGGTTAAAATAGATGTCCAAACTGTGGAGATCACGAACTTGTAATTTTGTTGTGATAAAGTAAGCTTACAAGACACAGAGATCATGTAACGAGCTTCTTTGCAACAAAACAGAAAGTAAATGGCTGCACATTAAAGTGACAGTGAAAACGATCACGCGTTATTCATGGTGTATTTACATTTCACTATCATATTGAGATCTTATGTAATCTCTGTGCTAAGAAGTGACCTACAACTTTCGAGAAGTTAAATAAATGAACGATAAGTGAAGAAGCTTCAGAAAGCTGGTTCGAATCAAACTAATGCTCACCACAGCAAACTAAGTAAACCCCTCAAGCTAAGTAATAAATCTTATAAATAACATATTCATTATACACGTTCTCACAGAGCAGTGTGCCATTCGCGAGAATGACCACGTGACAAAACGTCATGTGATAATGTTCTGAGACGCTACTTTTACTACTCGGGAGTGGGGGCGAGGAGAATACACATGGCTAATGTTGGGGCATGATTCATTTTTTAGGTAGCACCTTTTATAGTTAGAGGAAACTTTTTAGAGAAATCATGAACTCTTAACTCACGAGCTAGAGTAAGCTTTTTGGAGAGTATCACGACTTATAAGGGTGGTAGGAAGATGTCACATGCAATTGTGACGGAGTGACAGGTTGATATGTTTTGACAAAGAAAATAATGAAATTGTGGATGATCTGGGAATGCTCCTGGTGCAGTCAGTGAATTAAGAGCTCTTTTGGTAGCACTCATAAATGGTATCTCAGCTGAACAATCGGCCTAAAATTCACCCAGTATGTACAGATTGTGATGCTAGGCAACAAGTCAGTGAGATGAGATTAAACTGTACGCTCTGATTTGATGACTTGGTGAGTGTTGTTCAAATCAGAGGTATGCATAATATATTTAAGGGACTTTAGAAATCTAGATTGTAATCTGCAACTGGCTTTAAGTAGGGAGGAGAATTTTCAACTTCACTGAACAGACCGACCATACTGCTTGAGAGCAGGAGAGGGGGGGGGGGGGGGGGGGGGGGGGGGGAGGGGAGAGTGGAGGGGAGGGGGAGGGGGAGGCGTGATCGTTTCCCAGTTTCCATATTCAATATCTATTTTTCAGTAGATCCAGGATAAATGTAAATGATCAACCAGATCTGTTCAAGCAGAAGATAACGATACGTTCTTGCTGATATCAGAGAGAGCAGTATAGAGGGGGGGGGGGGGGAAGATCCCACTTCTGTCGTATTGTTATGAAAGATAGGTATCGTCAAAGCGCTAAATGTCAGGTCACAAAGTTAACGTCACAAAGTGCTAAATGTCAGGTCACAAAGTGCTAAAGTTCACGTCACAAAGTGCTTAATGTTACGTCAAAGTGCTAAATATTACGTCACAAAGTTGAAAGTGCTAAATGTCACGTCACAAAGTGCTAAATGTCAAGTCACCCAACATGCCATACAGTCAGTAGAAGAGATCGATCATGGGTCCTATGTAATAGGACCCATGTATACACAGCCCCAATACTAGACCCCAATATAGGGTTAATAGTAATAAGTACTGGCCATTATGTATGGGGTTTTGTTAAATCAGTTGCTTAGATTACAGGATGTTATTCATACAAAAGAATAGACAAACTAACTGTAGCTGTCATTAAAAATAATCGCAGTGCAGTAACGTGTATTCGGGGTACAAAAGGTGAATTTCCAGCGATGGATAGTATATAGCCGGGCATAAACCCTCAAATAAAAGCAACAACATCCCGTATTAAAGTACACGCTCTAGAATAGCTACCGTATAGGTACTCCAATAGGTACCGGTCACAGAGCCTTGCAACACAACACGGGCCACATTAATCAAACAACAAGAGCGTCTACTTTTAACACAAGTAAACATGTGAGCTGTATTAGAGGTTTAAATGCTGTGTTAGAGATGTTGCCGGAATAAGGAATAATCGGTTATACAACCCTCACTTACTCAGCAAACTTATGAGTACCACAGCTGCGGGAACTTTGAGAATACCGCGTGTACCACAACGGGGTGGCAGTGTGCTCCCAGAAAATAGAGAGAGACAGAGAAAGACAGAGATTGAATTGGTTATAAGAGGGGGTTTGTAAAAAAGGGGGAAAACAGTTGGGAACAGGGGAGTAAGAATTGAAGAGGATTTGATTAAAGTTGCGGTGATTTTGCGATAAATGAGGGTTCATTAAAATTATGAAACGTGGTAAAATTAAAGACTGTGTGAGGTGTTTTACAAATTCCCTGGGTTTTCTATAACCACCAGATGGTATCACATTCAAAAACAAATCCAACTAACGCCACAACAAAAACCATCCAAAATCTACAAACAATCCACGACGAGAAAAAATATGACTCATCAAGATGATCTGGTGGGTCTAAATCAGAAAATGTATGGCCATGGTCACTAGTATGTCACACCAGCTGATGTCTCAGGTGTGCGTCTACAGGGACCAGCTCCTTCATCAAAACTACATTACAACTTGTATTATATACCTTATTACTCGGTTAGGACACATCGTCATCATGCAATGTCCCAGTTACAGTGGACATGTATACAAAATTAGCTGAGGTTACAATCTGCAAGGGTTCTAGATTCAAGGGGCCCGAATTTAGAGGTTTCGAGAGTGAATATGGGGATTTCAAGCTTTGCGGAGGATATATATTCTTTACGGGTGCAGTAGGCGATGAATGCAGTTTTATTAGTCGAAAAGATTGAAGGCAAGACAAGAGATTTAGTAGACTACGAATCGGAGTCACACCTACAATCATACCGACCCAAATAAGGGAGAGAATATTGCACAGACTGATTTGATTGAATAAAGAGGGCAATCAAACTATAAGACGTTGAGTACGGAGGTTATATCAAGTATCGTGCCCACCATTATTTTTAAACAATCAAGGTGGAAAGTTAACTTAAAAAGTCATGATAAACCAGATTAAAGTTTAGGTAAGTTTCATTAATATCATTACCTATACTTTTTGACTACCTAAAACGAAACGCGTGCAAAACCTCTGGCTTAACCGCTAAAGTATTCAGTGTTGATGAAATAAGCAGTCTAACTAAAAGTACAAATAAGGAGTAATGGCGAGGGTGGGGTCAGTCGGTGGGTTAACATATTATACCGCATTTAAATAACTAGTCTGAGAGGAAGGGGGTAGGTAGGTTAATATTCGAGTATAAGGAGGAGTAGGGGTGGGGAAGAGGGGATTAGGAAGAGGGGGAGGAGGAAGAGGGGAGGGGGAAGATTCGGAGTAGGGAGAAAAAATAGTAGGTGGAGACCTCCTTTAATATTCGGGGAATGGCAGTAATTCAAATGATTCCAAATCCATTAAATTTGTTACTTTTAGTCCCTCAAACTATTTCTAAGAAACTCAAATAAAAGAGCAACAGAAAATAACCCCTCCTAAACTCGAACCAAGCAATCAACTGCAATACGTCTGACAAAGACATGGTCTACGTCTCACCTAATCTCAAGATTGCAGCGTCACCTGAACAGTATAATCAACATGCAGCTGACAGAATCGTCCGTCTAGTACCAGACCTGTACAGTCTCTCTCACCTCTCTTTCTCTCACACGCGCTATATTAGCTCCCCCTCCACTCTCCTCGCCACCCATCAAATTAACCCTGAGTCACTCTCGCGTTATTCTAATTTTCGTTAGACTTCTTATTAGCCGGCTGGGCTAGCTGACTGATGTTATTAGCACCCGCGAACAGGGGTTATATACGTGCACTTGGTAATAAACTGGAACAGTTATTTGTGAGCCACGGGGCTCATTATTCTACAGAACTATAACCGTGTCGTCATGTGACTATTCGGTCAGCATATTTCTATTTCTCAGCAAGTAATTTTGACAGCTACCATAATATCATGTTACTATACTTAAAATGTAACTATACTTAAAATGGAGGATCTATAAATTCCACGTACCGGGCTGCTCTCTTGGGGCCGGAGGGAGGAAGTGGCGTCGTAGAGCGCGCGCTGCATCGCCATTGCCCTGTCGTCGTTCTCGTAGTTTCTGTCAACGTCTACGATACCGCTGTCCCGGTATTCTGACGTCACACTCGCGTGGGGTGACTGCAGGGGAGAGGGATTAGTTGGGTTACTTTCTACCAATCATTGGAATGTGAACAGCATGCAAACTAGCACCTCTAATTAGAATCTTAATACAATACCCGTGTTAAACTTAAAGAGAACTGTTTTTATTGAAGTTCTTGTGTCAGAATTGATCACACTAAAACAGATATTTTCTCTGAGACTCACCAGGAACGATCCCTCAGTTGAGGCTCTGTTAGTGTGAGGGGTGTGTACGAATCTGTTGGGCTCCTTCAGGAACTCTTCCATGCTGCACATCAGATCCTCAAAGTTAGGACGAGCTGTAGGCTCCAACACCCAACCTGAGGAATTACCCGATTAACTAATTAATTAACTTAGACGAGCTGTGGGACCAACACCTGGCACACCTTGTTAACCATGGTTACAGAAGTTTGATACTGTAGTGCCGAGCGTGTTGTTAAATTAAATCTGGCTCCAATACTGAACATCTTTATAAAAACCGGCCCAGCTAAAATGTACGTAGAAAATGGGGCAACCGTAGTAATTTTCTGTGATATCTCTTTAATTTTACCACATAATTTATTAATCAGCAAATTAATTATATCGTCTTGGCACTATCCATAAGGCGTTGATATTAGACTAGGACCAAGTCATCATCATTGTCGTGATGGTAAACACAGGTTTGACAGGAGTCGACAATAGTTTGCGGAAATCCAGACCTTATTGAGCCACATTGTATCAAGTCATAGCTTATAAAGGAGTATGATAACATGTAGGCTAACTCTCGTTAGTTACTCATTAACAAGCTCTGTGTTGTTCTGTGTGATTGCACCTCACGACCCACACGCGCTGAGTAGCTAAAAGGGGAGCCACCCATTTTAAACTATTTTTAGCGGATATATCGCCAAAAATAACTATAAGGTCCCCCCCCCCCCCGGCACTAGAAGTTTGCAGAATTACACACTCCACACTTTGAGTAACTGGAGGTTTGTTAGTCGGCGGGAGGAAAGCAGAACACATCTTATGTCATGAGTACTTTTAGATGTGGTGTTAACAGAGGATACGTCATATTTAATGGTCTGACATATCTACAGAGACTTCGAGTATACTCGCTCTGAAACTCTGAAACGCCCAAAACTAGGTACCGGAAAAGCATGAAAAAGTTGGAATCGGACCAAGTTCATATCCAAAAAACGGAAATTTTTACGTTTGTAGCGCAAATTTTATGCCAATTCCAGAAAAAGGAGTAAACAGTTCAAAGTTCAAAGTTTTATTGTGTATACGAGAGTACATCTTAACGACTCTCTTTGACTTTGAAGCCCCTTCCACGTTACCTTGCAAAATCTGTACTGGAATTCAAATTTTATAACGACATCATATTAATATTTGAAATATGAGTAGATGTTTTAATAGGCTTTGATCGAAACTCGAGATAAGTGAGTCTTTAAACTAAGTATGAAAATTTTAAATCATACTTTAAGTACTGATTTGATCACTGATTTAGGCCCTAATTTGAGCAATATTTTCATATAAAAAAGCCCACTTATAAAATAAAGAGCTGGTTATGAGTACACTTACATCTGAGCATGAGAGCGTAAACCTCCAGTGTACATGTTTTGGGTTTGGGTAACCGCTCCCCCATCTCTAGTGATCTGATGAGCTCGGCAGGGGGTTTCGTTCTCCAAGGTAACTGTCCGAATTCTAACACCTGGTAATATTTGTGGCGTGTTGGCTCGAAATCATTTTAAAGGTATAATTTGTCGTGATCTTAACCTGGGTCGAAGAATATTGTCTGATATTCACACTGATAAAATCAAAAATGGTTTATTTTGGATGAGTTAAGGTTCGTGGAAGAGTTTGTATTTTGTAAGTATGAAGGTATGTGTGTTTATATCATACCTCCCAAATGGTAACACCGTAACTCCAAGTGTCACTTCGTGACGTGAACTGACGATACTTCAAACTCTCGATAGCAAGCCATTTGATGGGCAGCTTGCCTCCCTCACTGGTGAACATCTGCTTCTTACTCGACAAACACTTCGCCAACCCGAAATCAGTGATCTTCACGAAAGTCGGGGTTTGTACTGAAAATATTTCCTTGTGTTTGAAATGTGATTGGTAATGCGGCCCGCACCCAAGACTCTGTGATTTTTGAGTCTGTGTATCCAGTATCGGTATTGTCCGTAGACTTAATCGCTGTTTTATGAGCAGGGTGAAAGACAGGTATTTTAGACTGAACCGTCAACAGGCCAGTAAATACAGGCCCGCCGGCAGACTTTAAAATAGAAAATATGACCAATGTTGCTTGTAAACTTTAAAAATACGACAAAAAACTGTTCAAAATTTATCAAACTTTAAAACCAGGAAAACAACAATAATTTTCCAAAACGTTTTCGGATCCAAAACTCACCCAGAACGTTCCTAGCAGCGAGATCCCTGTGAACGACGTTGTTTTCCTCCAAGTACGCCATGCCCCGGGCTATTTGTAGTCCGTATGTCAACAAGTGGTGCGATGTTATCGAGGATTTGTACTTTCTCACCTGTTAAAGAGAAATTCTGTTATTACTTTATACAATTCGTAAATTTCCTCTAAAATATGGGTAACTCCCTCAGAATGGTCGATGCTCCTTAATAATGGTCTGTGGCTCCTTCTTCAATGATAAAGCACAGACATCTGACATATGCTGCGCTTTTCAATTTTATTTTATTACAATAAAAGTTTGTGGTAGAATAAAGACGAGTTAAATCGAGAGTTTTGGCATTTCTTATTATGTTTTTTTCATCACTGTATGGGCCATGGGGTAATAAGAAACATAATATGGTCACTATATTACTGTCAAGATTAGAGACAACCCTGTCTACCAAAATATAATAACTTTATTCTTAAGTTCGCGTCATTTTCCAACCCCTATGTCCATATTATTTTTTAATTTCATATAAATGCGTATTGAGGAACAATATATTGTCGGACAAATTATCGGAAATCAGAAACTAATATGACCTGCGATATTTGTCAAAGAAAAGGACTACCGCTCCAATAAGACAAAAGCGGGCCGCCAGCCACCGAGTTATTTTCAATTTTCATTAGCGATTAGCGAAATTGACAGGCAATGATGTCGGGGAATATGTTTGAATATTCTGCAACTCAAGGTAATTAGGTAAAGTAAAACTGCGGTATGTGGCCGCGACATATTATTAGATTCTTTATTTTTCGAGGTGGGCAAATGACACGTGCGGTAACAAGGTTCCTTCGAGTTGGTTTTAGTGATTCGTTTGGGTCCCTAAGCAATATCAGGTACCATCACTACTCGGTATATCAAAACAATAATGTCGATCTAATCAGTGGCGTTAATTACAATTTCAGAAAAACGAGTTTGAATATTTGCTTTCTTCCCCAAAGTCTGAAAATAAATAGCGACTTTTCCCAGAGATTCATTATGTACTCACATAATCAAGTAGCGATCCAAGAGGCATTAGTTGAGTTACCAGCATCATCTTACCAGCGCATAGACACAGGATTCTAACGAGATGTTTGTGATCCAGTTTGCCCATTACAACTGCTTCCTGGATGAAGTGAGGTTTGGTTAGAAGGAGAAGGTGGTAAATGTGGACAGAAGTTGGTATTTTTAATGTTTTCTTGGGACAGAAAATTTAGCTCTTCTTTCAATTCTTTAGAATGGTGGCTAAATAGATATACAATGTCCCACACCACAGTATACGTCATACTGATACCAGTGAACGTAGATCAGTGCAATTTTAACCATCACAACCATTTTTTGGAAAGTTCCAGAAAATATCGAACACAGAATTTGATCGATTTCTTAAGAATTTCAATCTAATCGCTTGTCAAATCCACAGAAACCCGGAATTTTCCTCGTCAAATTACTGTCAGACTCACATCGAAGAACTCTCTAGTGCTTTCAGGATCTCCGGAATCCTTGAGTATCTTGATAGCAACTCTGAGTCCAACATCATCAGCAGTGTTCAGTGTTTCTGTTGGGTGCCATCTTCCTTCATACACTTTACCAAACGCACCGCTACCTGAAGAGAAGACAATATGTTAGATGAGATATTATTAATTAATCAGTTTAATAAATAAATCAATTTTAAGGTAAAATGTTAGGTATAAATAATACTTATAATAAACTAATATTGTAAAATCGTGGGTTAATAAAATGCCACTTCTAAAGACAGTTTTAAGAAAATCGCAAAAGTACCCCTACAAAAGTACCCCTCCAAAAGCTGCCTGTACCGATTTAAAGTTGAACTTATTATTTATTTTAATTAGCTTGATATGAACTGGCATTTACGTTTACGCACTCTAATGTTTCAATATAAGTTTGTTCTAAGGTATCTACAACTACGCAATTCTCCAAAACAAATTCCGACACCATTAACACCGCCAAACACACGATAAGAATTGAAAAACAATCTCCAGCAACATTACCTAAAACTTCTCCAATCTCAAGCGAATCCTCCGTAACTATTAGTAATTGTCCGTCATTCAGCGGATAAACCGTGTCCTCCTGCATTACAGGCTCGTATATAGGGTTAATATTGTCATGCATCTGTTGAGCGTGTTTCAGTAAGTTCATCCGTTTCTTCTGGTTTTGTTTGGCTCGTTTCCAACAGATGATCCCCACTATGACGATGATAAAGACGATCGCTACTCCCACTGCGATTGCTACTGCTGTGCTACTCTGCTGTGGAGCCATTCCGGGACTGGTGGAATATTTATAATTAGTTGTGGTTAATTAATTATGATAGAGTAATAATAGGACGACAAATTGTAGCTATTACAGAAAAAACAGAACCGCTCGCAAGTTTTCTTTTACAAAAATTAAGGTTATACAATTTAGGCTAACTCGATAAGACAAATTTTTTTAAATATTTTTAATCAAGACACTTATTTTACTTCGGTGTATTCCAACAGCCACATTGTTACACAAGTGCAACCAGCCAATTACAGGAAGCCGAAGGAACGATACATTTAATGCGAACCACTAGATATATAGACTTAACAATTGAAAGAAACATACCAGGCTCTGCCCTCAATACAACTGCAGAAATCTCCGTCCCTTTGGGTGTTACCATCATTTTCACATTCTTCTACACATCGCAGATGTTGCAGTTCATTCGTTGTGACTACCTGTTACAATTGGTCATTAATTAATTGATCCATTAAATTACCAATTAATCAATTGATGAACAATTTGATTGACTGATTTTTGCTTTTGAACATTATCATTCGACTAATATTGCAAATTACAGATTACAGATAACAATTAACAAATAATATAACAAATAACAATTAACAAATAACATGCATATTACAAATTATGTAATTATGAGCAAATCACAAACTAACCTTCTGAGCTCTGGAGTACTGTTCTGGGCACTTAGCCACACATGTCCTAGTCTGTTTGATCTCAGAAGTGGGCAGCTCGAAGTTCATGCACGAGGTACAGCTGGTCTCCCCGGGTCCTATGCAGGAAGCACATTCCTCGTGACATTCCAAACATTTCTTGTCAGGACCTTCGTAGTAGCCCAGGTCACATTTGGCTTGACATCTGTCACCTTGTTTTACGTGAACGCACTCCGTGCAGGATGAGTCGGACTGAGGAAAGAGAGGATAAAGGGGGTCCGATATTTTATCTATCTCAGGACGTTGCCCCAAGCCTTTAATGTTTCAACTTTACATACGGAATACGGATACAAAAACGTTCTAGTTGAACAATGAAAAGAATGAAAATGTATAAAATAATAAGGATCTGCTTTTAAACATACCCAGTGATCACAAGCAGCACATTCTCCGTGACACTTCTCGCAAACTGTGATGAACTGATCATCCTCTCCCTTTATTGTGTCCTTGTAACTTTTAGGGGGACATTGATCCGCGCACATTTGGTCCTCCTTGTTGATCGTGTTGTCGAATAATTTGCAGGTTGTGCAGCCTGGTAAATGGGCGTTTGTTTATAAGTGGTTCTTTCGGTTCAGATGGTACTTTAGGGAGATAAAATATATTCAATTTGTTGGCTGAATATTGGAATCATATTTCAAAATGATAAGAAAATAATAAAACATGTTCAACAAAGATCAACAAAGACGTTAATGTTCCAATATGAGGGAAGGGACTATGATTCGTTAACTTTCAAGATTAACTAATAAAATTAATACTAAATTAATACTAAATTAAAATAATTAAATAATACCCTATCTCCACTAACCTCCTACTCCCTTGTGAGCACCAGGCCCGTCGCAACCTCCCTCACAGGCAGGATCACACTCTTCACAGCGCTGGTTGCGCACGTAACTGTGCACGTTGGAACAGCTGGTCACGCACGCGGGCCCGTCGAACATGTGCTTACAGTCGATACAATGGTGGTTACCAGGACCAGTGCAAGTGTTACAGTTTTTGTGGCAGGGTTTACATTGCACTGATTCGTCATCGTAAGATGCCCTGAGGGAAATGAGTTAGGATCAAACATTAGACTGACAAAGACCGACTTGATACACTTGGTGAGGGATATATCACGACAAGATAGTGGTTTAACTTTTTGAGCGAGACGCTACACGAATAATCATGATCTAAAACAAGATATTCGTTGATGAAGGAGGTTAATCTTACCCTTGACATGTAGGGATACAATCTCCTTCAAACTCCTTGTTATTGCACGTGATACACATATCACTGTCAGGTCCCAGACATCCGTCTGTCTCATCACACTCGGAGTGACAAGGCTTCTCTGTACAGGCTGACTCGGAGATATCAACAGTAACCTGGCAGATATTATCTGTTAGCTGTTGATTGAAGCTTCGGGGCGAAAAATAACAACATAGCTGTTTTTTCATTTTTGCCACGGTGGAAATCAAAAATTGAATGATAACAGGGAAATGGCCAGCCCCTCCACTGGACCCTGATATTATCTCTACTCACCACTGAACCATCTAGTCTGGAGCCCCAGTCGACCCGATCCACATAACACAGGTTACTACCGCTCAACTTCATGGGACCTCCTATCTTTTTGAGAGCCACTAATTCTGCTGTTTCCAGGGCCGTGTTGTTGTCTATCTCTATCACATAGTCGTCCGTTGCTGAGAACATATCACGTTACACAGATATAGGATATCGTGTTTCAGATACGGGATATTAGGTTTCACAACAACGCTCTTCAAACCAGACCGTGAGATAATCAGGACTATAACTAATATATAATGCATCAGAAATTGATAATAGTTGTTTATCATGATCTAATGAGGGATATTTTCAACGAGTAATATATCAATTTCAAGAGTATTCGATCAAAATTATTTCCTGGAACGAACAAAATCATAATCACAAAAATATAACTCATAAAATGCCCACCTCTCCTTCGTCTCCTTCTGAGGGATCCTTCTCCCTTAACCTCTGCCAGTCTACGGAACATGTCCAGACTGGTAAAGTTGGTGTCGGGTGAATCTCTGATTATCAGACGCCCAGTGATAGTAACAATCTCGTCTAACGCCTAAAATGGAGAGTGTCAGTCGTAAGTGTTGCTAGAAGATTCCTCTGGCTGGGTAAATACTTAAGATCAAGTTAGGTTGATCGCGATGAGATGTTATGTCCCTTAAAAGTAAACGCAACAGTAAGATAGGCGTGCCCAAAACATATTTGGCCACAGGAATTGAAAGTTGACCCTCAGTAAACCGATTAGAGGAAAATTAAAATCTAGTTATCACATTACCTCTAGATCAGCTGTGGTAATCTTGTCTGGGCCGGTCCAGGATTGGAAGTTAATGATAACGGAACCCTCGACCAGGTTACAGTTTGCGAACTGAACGATACTGCTGCTGTTCAGAGGAACTGTGTCACTTCCTACACAATCTGAAGACGATTTGTGTTAAAGTGGCTGTAAAGTTTATTGAGGCAGTCTAACTTTTAACACAAGTCACTTGTATTATAATATAGGGCAGTTTGAGTCAGGAGTTTCATTTTCCGTACACTGGGATATTATGCACAGCTGCTGTACACCGTGTGATGATAGTCAAGGTCGAATTTAAAGTTCCCAGTCGGGTAATTACAATCCAGTTGCAGAATATCACAGCTGTAGTAACCAAGAAGTCACAGCTTTGCCCTGACTCAGGACACTACAGTTAGTGAACATATTGAAGTGTAGCAGGCAGCTTGTAGTTGCAAGGTTTGTAACGGACAGTTTGATACTTGACAGTGACGCGGTATTGTCATTAACAAAATACTGGCCGGTGCCAGCGAGCAAGTTTGCGCTAACTGCAACGTACGAAGCCAGCACTACATGATATAACAGCTAGTGTGTACTAGTGTTACACTCATGCTGTAACTTTGATAACAGCGGTCCGGTCAATGTAAAATATGAGAAATATTGGTAGGATTATTTGACTGAGAAATAGTTATTCGTTCTTTAAAGAATTGACTTTCTGGTAATGACAGTATAGTAAGAAATAAAATATATCTTTAAAATAATAGGGCACCGAAAAAGGGTTTAAACTTACTTTTAGGGCAAGGTCCGTCGCAGGGTCTGCACGTTTTATCCACCAAGGATCTCCACTTGCCTGCGGGACACTGGCCCACGCAGTTCTCACCGTCCTGTGCGTATTTGCACGTGCACACGTGGATTGAGTAGCCGGAGGAGCGACATGAGGAGCAGAACTTGTGACACGGAGTACAGACCTGACGAAGGGAGTTGTTAAGCTGGTGGGGGATGTTTTGACAGTTTTGTTAATTATAATATCAATTTGTAATAAACTGTAGTAAACTTCATTCCCACAAGACAAGAGATATTGAGAGGTATTCCTAAGAGTTCAGAGCAGCCATTTTCTTTAGAGACTATGATCAAACCAATGATTTTAATTTCTGATAATTAATTCAATATTGAAAGTCAAGTAGGGGGACCTTAATAAGGCGAACCATTAAAAATGTCAGCGAAAAGAGTCTTTAAATGGCCGCGTCTCCCAGGAGCAGACGAGTTACCATTATCCAGGGCACAAAAAGGCGGCAAGACTCATGTTTCATAAAACTAAGAGTTTCATTTTACTACTATCGTCATAGAATGACGTTTGTTATGTTATTGGATAATTTATGAAGGGCCGTTTTATAATGCACGTCTTTAGCTTTTAACATGTGCGATGGCTGTTTATTTGAACGAACTTGCAAAACAAACGCGCGTGCGCGGCGCGAACGAACCTCCAAGCCCTGGATGATATTTTTCGCGCGCTCCATTAAAAATTCAAAATCAACTTCAACATGTCCCAAATTGGGCGCGCTTCCAACCAAAACCATCACGTGACCTCAAAATACAAGCGGACATTAGGGTAATGTACATTATTAACCGTAGGTAACAATTATTTCTCGATCTTCACACATTCACTAGGCTAAAAGAACCACTAACTGCGTTGGAAAGCACGATATCAGTCGTAAATCAGCTTACAGAGACCAGATAGTTTTGTTTACATAGGGGGCAGAATTTTAACGTGTAGCAAGGCAGACTTTTACAATATATCTCTTTATATTAATGATGTAACATCAGATATGTAGAGGGGGATTTGTCAATACAAACTATGATTTGATTTGGTGAATTTCGCTATACGCAGTGAGTGTGTGGCGGGGAGAGAAAATTAAATTCATTTCACCGCCAAGTCTAGACTTCAAATAGAGAACCGCACACATCTCCCATTCCTTCCCACGGGGCCGATTTAAACGCACAATTGATGAGTAGTTGCATTAAAGAGCAACATGAACCGCTATTGACAATCAGAATTGTAGTGTATGGCTTGTTTGCCAGAGTTTTGTGTACAAAACTTCATCGTGTACTTTGCCATGTATTATCTCATTATCGTACACAAAAAAATGAGGTGGCGTTCAAAAAATATTCATCAAAGACACAGAGTCACAGTCAAGATTGGAGGTCTAGTCATGAAGGGGACCTGTAATAACGTTGAAAACCAATACGTGTGTTAGAGGGCCGTATCATAGCCTAGGTAACCGGTACAACAACCCCGACAAGGTTTAAAGTTATCTCACCCCCGGTAATTCGCATTTAAATCATATGTTCGCCGTGTGAGCGGATTTTTCTACTTTTTAGAGGCTGTCTCTCGGAAGTAGTGGTACCGGAGGTCACGATCTTTAACAGGGTTGTTTAGCAACGGGTATCTTGTTCGGGTATATTTCATTGCTCTTCCGGAATGCGGCCAATATTTAGGAACAAAATTTACTGACCAAAATTAGGTTTGGGCAAAATATGCCGGGAAAACCATTAAAGTATAAAAACTGCCGGTTTGGATCATAGAGATTTAGGTCGTTATTTCTGTTCAAAAGAATGACAAATATTTTCAAACGTTGTGACTTGTGATCTCGCAATCAAAAATTCGAAAGCTGTCGAAAATTTAACGTAGACCAAGCCTTATAGAAACGAAAAATTCTGATCTCATTATAGAACCTAGACCGGAAAATTCTACACAGTCTTGTGGCTGGCATTCAATGTAAAATGAAGACTTTTTCAAATTCTTTGGGTGGAATGGACTGAACGTCAAAAATTTGATCATATTACAAAATGTGGCTAAGAATGATATATGAGGAGAAATTCACAGAAAAAAAATACGAGGAATGAAAGTACACATTACAGTACAGTCTTATTAGCGAGCAGAACGGCTGTTTGCTTAACCACGCCAGACCACACGAAAGTACGTCACACCACGTGACAGTACGTCACACCACGTGACAGTACGTCACACCACGTGACATGACGTCACACCACGTGACATGACGTCACACCACGTGACATGACGTCACACCACGTGAAACAACATCAGACCACGTGTCAGTACAGCAAGGTGTGTTACAGCTGAGAGTTACAATGTGTCTGACGCACGTTACACTAATAAGACTTGACTAATGCCTCTGTTAGCGGTCCGCACTGCAGTAACTCCTGCACCGACTGCAGGGCTAGTTTCACATATTCACATATTCTTCTGTCACATATTCACATGTTATTCTGTTACATGAGATGTATTCGCACCAACATTATAGTCGACACATTTCAAGTTGGCGGATGAGATCAAGAAACATCTGCACTTTCTCTGATTGATGTACAGTGCAATAACACAGGTTTCATACTAAATGGCAGCCAGTCGAAGGTAGCTGAACCCATTCTGTAATGCTGGACTATGGGCGAGCTTAATCACGGCAATTGAGAAGAGGGAGAGAGGTTTAATTGGTAGTCCATCTTTCTCCCTCTATTTGGATCAGTAGCACAGCAGTATTTAGTTTGCACAGCAGTATTTAGTTTGCTGAACTATGACTTTTTGGATAATAAAGATGAGGCTTTCTTCTAGAAATTAGAAGAGATAGAACTGAGCAAATGTTCCTTATATATCTCTAGACATTATATTACAATCTCGGATCTCCCATTTAGGGAGGAGATGGGACGTTCAACTGGTTATGATTGTAAATGAATGACTCAAAATACTACCTATTTTTGTTCAGTAAAACTAAAGTAAGTTTGATACGCACAGTCCGTTATTTAAAGTTACGGGGTCAGAAAAGTGATATAGAGACAAATGGAGAGAAGAATAAGTCTGCCACTCAGGCTAGGCTAAATCTAATAGTGTCGGTATGATGTAGTGGATAGGTGGGGCAGGTGGCAGGAATGTGGGAAGTGGATTGTGGTAAATCTACAGTCTACATTCGTTACATGATATAACAGGGTACAGTTAAATCCCAATCTACCGGGAGCCCCGATATAAAGGGTGATTTACATGTATTTTATTTATTTTAGTGTAAATAAAAACCCCGATTTACGGTGATAGTTGAATTTTTGACGACAACCCCTCGGTGTTTGCAGGTCACCCCTGATATATCATCACACTCTCAATACCAGTACTGCAGTGTACGTAAAATGGTCTGGTGCGGTAGTTCGAGGTCAGCAGTGGAAATTACCCACTAATAATACGTCTAGACAACAAGGCCTTACTTTACACCAGCTCCAGTGGAATGTGAGCTAAATAATCGTACGTGATATTGAGTTCAATAGTATAATGATAATAATGTGAGTCCGATCTTACTTCAATGATGAGATTCAATTAAATATTGATAATCGTGTTAAAATAGCTTTCGGCCAGCAAAGCACAGCAGTGATGTAAAGATCAGGCTTGTCTCTGGATTAAATAGTTCTGACCGCGATTGTAGGAGCTTAATATTATTTATTTAATAGCTAGATAATTTCTAAATCGAACCAACATGAACAGTTTGATTTCTTACCGGACAACAAATAAAAAATCATTACTTCATGTAGATCAATCTCATTAACATATCGGAGGAGTTGGAAGAGGTTATGAGAGATGAGAGGCAAAAAGAATGAGAGAGTGAAAGTACCTTGACTCGCTCGCTGATTGGTCTATCGCCGTCATGTGTGGGTAGGTTGGGGTAAGGTTTGAAGTTATCTGGGTATTGATCTTCAGGGCACTTCACTTCGCATTGTCCCTGAAAGTTAAAAGTATAATTATTTATTATTCAGTAAATTTTAGTTATAATGCACGTCATTTCTCACCCAAACCACAAATAACTAATATAATGTTTTTCGTTTGTGATATGTTTTTTTCTAAGGAATCAGATAGTACAGCTGTAGAGACATTTTTATGAAAATAGTGTGAAAAAAGTATAGTGTGAAAAGTTTGGTGTGATAAAATGAGTATTTTAAAAATAACAGGAGTTTTGAGAAATAAACAGGCCAACACATGGATGCTATCCGTTTCCATCACGATAGAAGTTAGTTTGAGAAACTAGATATACAAGAACATTGATTATTAGCCGATAAATGAAGTAATGTAATAATATGGAACCTACTTGAATTAAGGAAGAAAGTATTACAAGTAAGCCCCACAACTAAGTTAGGTGTGAAGTGTGATGTGGGAGTGTTAAGTGTGTCGTCTAGTTTTAACTTGAGATGTTTGATAGAGAAAAGTTGGACAAGTTCAGCGACACGACAGCGCTTTTTAAACTCCAGTCTCCCCAAGAAACCGTCCTATACTACCAAACCACTCAAGTACACTCTCCCTAACCCTACAAAAGGGTCTAAACTCTAAAATCTGCCTGGTCACAGCCTATAATTCCAAACACACCCATTAATTTACAGTGTTTTGACAGCCGAAGCAGGTCTGAGATCCGCCCTTTATTCAATCTTCAATCTAAGAAAACATAGAGGAGGAAAATTTAATAGCCAATCTGAGAGGTTTGATTTAGAAAGCTGGCCAGAACACTAAGATTTAAAGTGAAAAGCTGCTGGTTTGACATCATAATCCTCGAGAGTCTACAACCAGCCCTTATAAAAGACACCACTCCCTCCAGTAATTCTGGTTCATGTTGATCCTTAACTTGCTGATAGAACAATACCGCCATACTTGATTTAAAGCTGAACAATGGAGCCAGTTTAACTTCAAAAGTCGGGTTTATAGAACAGTGCTAGTTTCACCTGAGTATCGATAGTGTGACAGTTACAAAAGTGCAGGAGATCGCACCACCAGACACCAACAGTGAGATTTCAAGCTGACACGCGCCCACAAGGATGAAGAACAACACCCGTTTTACTAGAGAAGTAGAACCAGGGAGAGGGAGCGCATCACTAGGGGTACCAGGGAGAGAACGCTGCGTAAATTAACGTAAAATGAAAGCTGTCCACAACTTCTGACGAAAATGCAGTGATCTGAGGTCTACACGGAAATAGGAAACAAGTCACCCAACTTCGACCAAGGTTAACAGTTTTACGATAATTAATTATAATGCTCCAATTATAATGAAGTGTTATATCACTAATCACGGTGAAGCATTCGTTTATCAGAGGTTCAAACCAGCTCAGGACAACTTATCATTCTTAGGAGCTCGTTTTAAAAAGTGGTTCAGATACTCCTCACAGAAACATCTGCTGGCACAGTTTTCTGGCACTTATTTACCGTCAACGCATTCCCCGCATTCCAGCGCAGGATGTTTTCACATTTCTCTCTCTCCCGGAGTCCGGTAACCAGGTACTGTTAGACCGACTCTTTACAAACTCGGATTTAAGCCAGACTTAATGTAGACGTGTGTTTAACTTTGAATAGAGTCTAACTATGTAGTTTAAAGTTTAAAAGGGTTTAGAGTGAGTTCTGTGCTGCATTGGATGCTGCATAGTGACGGGTTCTGTGTTGTGTTATAACAATTCTGTGTCGTATAGTAACGAGTTCTGTGCCAACTGTAACGAGTTCTGTGCTGTGTTATAACAATTCTGTGTCGCATAGTAACGAGTTCTGTGTTAACTGTAACGAGTTCTGTTTGGCAAGTGTGAACTCCGTGACTAAGATTATAAGTCCAAAATTGTGAACCACCAAAATAACATTTTGATTTGATAGACAGTAAAACCTAACATCACCATTCCTCAATGACTTCACCACTTAGCTAAATATTACAGTCATAAACCTCTTAAACAAGCAAATATCACAGAATGTGCCTCTTACATCACCACAATATTCCCAAAACTGAGTTTTAACTTTTTAACAGTTACAACATGTCCAATATTCAACACCGACAGTCATATTATTATAATGGAACTACCAATACCCAAACTTTAACCTCATTATTCAGGGGTCAGAATTTGTCCGCCAGATTCTAGAGTTAAAGTTGAAAATATAGCGTCACACTAATAAACACAGACATTAATACATTGTCCTAGTTGTGTTTCTACTAAAAATACATGCATGTAATTAACAGCGTACAAATCGGTGTACACTGAAACACACAGAATGTACACTGAAGATAAACCATCTTAATCAAATTAGAGGCGACATTTCCAGAGTGTATTCCTAATGTACGCGTGTTTAAGTGTAAAATGTGTGTATTTAAGTTTTCCTAATATTGATGTTTTGATGCAAGAACTGAGTATTTAGATCTTTTCTTCATATACATTTATATGGAAGATGTGAATTAAAGTTTTCCTAATGTATATTTTTATGTAAGAATAATATGGTAGACCAATCATGTCATACACCTAGTTTTAGTGATGATGTTAGTTGACTGTATCTGAGTAAAGATGGCGGCTGAGAATGATAAAACCCTGTACAGCCCACTAATGATGCTGACTAGCTGTGCTAAGTAAAAAAAAGTCCGACCTCACAGTGTGAAAACTGTCAGTTAGCGAGGAACTGGAAAAATCACACTTACGTCTGCGCATCCCGACATTCCACAAAATATGAAAGATCTGGCAAAAACTGGAACGGAGTTAAAAATATGGTATAAAAACACGAGTCAATCTGTGAGAGGGTTGGGAAACGTGAAAATCTGCGCAGTTCAAACTGGACAAACAAGGACTCTAACCACAAACTGAAGTGCTCTCTCCTATAAAGCGAGGGAACACACATCAGCTCCGAGAGTGCGTACTGATTGGCTGCCTCGTGACACGAGACAGGAATACAGCTCTCTGATTGGTGCACTTAGGCCACGAGGTAAGGCTTCTCCTCGCTGATTGGCGGAGAAAGTACAAGGGGTTGTCAATGCCTGGCCAGTAGTTAGCACTCAACTCAACTAATATACACGGGGGGAGGTATGGAGAGCGGTCAAACTGGCGGAGATGTCGCGCCACAATAGACAACCTGCCCAACCCTGCCCAAACCTCCTCATCAACCTCATCATCTTCATCTTTTTCATCATCTTAAGATATTATCAAACCTCAGAAAATCGTATCCGGACACTGTGGGGTTTCCTCTGTTCACGATCTAGGAAACCCTGATAGTTGGCACGCAGAGAACGAGGGCTGAAAACAGAGGTGGGGAGTCGTATGGTAGTGTTGACACGTTCAGAGCTCTGATAAATTGTCTATCATTGACCAGCACCTCCCCAATCTACTGTCACTATATTTACCTTTCTTTTAACTTTGTCTGGCATCTCATAACAGTGAGTTGGTCACGAGGTGGGCAAATCTCTCATACGCTAACCATTATTTATAGATCGGGAACTGTGATCATTGGTCACGTGATCTACCTGCTTCTTAACTTTTGTTAAAGATTTGGAATTTAAGATTATTTTAAGTGACTAATGTTTGCCTTAATATCACCCGAAAAAGAGCACTTTAAAAATCTAGATCACAGCTCAAAGTAGAACCTGGAAAACGAGCAGCCCAATCCACGGGAGTTAGAGAAGTATCTAGATCCTAAGTCAGACGAAGTGACGAGTGACGGCTCTCCAGTCTCCACTTTCACTCGTGAAAGCATAAACAAGGGAGCTCTACGTATTTTTAACATATTTAATTCAACCCAATTTCGTCAACACTCAGATTTTAGTGGACATTAAAATGTTTTAAAACCATGGTCCCCCCTCCAAACGAGTCCTAACTTGAGTAAACCCTGAAGTAACTGGTGAAAGGAACGCCACCCCAACTGTGTGGCCGGTCAGTCCAGCATATTTAATAGCTCCGCAGCTGCAGGTAATGCAGGCCAGCGGGCGAAGCTGTACTGCTGATGTGTTGAGAGGCGTTTAATGAAACCGATTGATAAAACACGGCACCTTCTTTCCAGACAGTTCCAGTGGGACGCAGGAATTTGTCAGCTCCCTTCCAGAAAGTTCCGGGGGAATTTATTGGGTATCGGCTGGATCCTTCCTTTGGCCCATTTGAGCGATCCCGTGTTGGATCCCGAATCCCATCTCCCAATTTAACAACAGAACTGATATGAGGTTTGAATGGATGGAGGGATGAGTAAGTTGTCTTTCATGGTTTGATAAAATAAGGAAATATGCAGCATCGAACCAAAAAATAATTCTCAAAAGTGGAGAAAACATAAAGACGTGATAAAGAGATAAAGGACATATTGAAAGAAAAACATAGAACGCAAAGAAAAAATTCAAAGAAGCACTAACCCAGAGTCTTCTGGTGTTGTTCTCAGTATAGGTTTCCTCCATCAGTTTAACAACCTCACAGAAGTTGCAGCCCCCTGGACCTATGAAGCTGTTGGGGCCCGTACACCCTCGCTCCATCGTACATTTATCATGACATTCCATACAGGTATCCTGAAAGATGGGAATTGTCAGCACTCTTTGGATAGTTGGAACTGGATCAAGTTGTTGTATCGCATTAAAATCTGTATTGAAATTTAGATGGAGTTCCGAAAATATGTGATTTATTCCGGATATAACCCAGCCCGAATATCCAGCCTGTGCTGGTACCGTAATCTGTATCCTGTATACCGCCCATATCTTACAAATTCTCATTGCCGTTCTGTATCCTGGACAACTTTGTTCATGTTTCTACAGACACCAGAGTTGCCAAGTTGGTCGGTTTCAGACGCCAAGGCTAACTCTGGTCTAATACCTAGTCGGGCTTCCCTCTTCTAGACCTGAACGTACCCAAAAACTGGATTTCATCGCATAGTTGGAATAGCTGGGCCACATGCAGTCCAATATCACGCACGACAGTTTAGTTGAACTGTGTCAATAAAAGAATAAAATGTAACAGCTCGGTCCAAATGTATTGACACCAGGGCGTAAAGGCACGGAATATAATAATACAGGATATAATATAATATATTATATTCCTTTATCCGAGCTGAGGGAGGGGTAGAGAGTAGAGACCACTCATGTCACGTGACTTGTGGAGGCTAGTCTGAAGAACTGAACTATTAGAGAGTGCAATCTTCAGCACTCCTTCACTAGCCCTCAAATTATGGAGTAATTTTGTCCTGACGGCTTTGCGGATAGTGCAACAAAATACGGTACGTCTTGTAGAATTGGCTGCAGGAATTGTGACGTGGTTTTGTTTCTTTATCCGGACTTACCGCCGCGAGTCTACTCTTGCTTACTCGCCAAGTTGGCTTCTGGTAATTGGAGTGAATATTTGCACGCGCCGAGCGCGCAATTGCACGTGCACAGTGAAGTAAACAGAAACCTTTCCATGACACGAAGGGAAATGGCTTCCCACAAGTCTAGATGTAACTGCTGTTTTGTCGCATTTGTTTACCGCGGTTTTTAACATACTTGATTACTGATAAGTGATTACTGTTAATCGACTTGATTTTAACTGAATTTTCCGGAATGAAATTAACGATTTTTTGTGACTCTCACTTTTATTTCAGTTCTGTTTTTAACAAATGAACCTCATGAGTCATGACAAGGTTAAACCATAATATCAACTCTACATATCGAGCAAGTCACGCGTTTTACAGAATACAGATTATTGTAGCCTGAAATTGAGCGAAATTTGTCCAAAGTAGACATTCCCACAGTTTCTGTCTAGATATTCGTGTTCTGATAACACAAATAATTGCTGATAAAGGCAAGTTTAGTACGATCAGACCGCATGATATCGGAGTAATACGATCACTGACTCGGGCACCTTGTTTACCGTTTACATGTGTTAGACGTGTTTAACATTTAATAATGTCTGTCGTGACTCGTGTCAATAACTTGATACTGTCGTTACGCCTTAGACGAGCAAATGTGTTCATTTCGCTGAAAATATTGTAGAGAGTGTGAATTTAAAAGTTTATTTCATTAATTTCAAATGCATCACCACCGAATAAATAAACATGGCTCTGAGTATGAGTAACACTGAATTTAGGTGGGCATTGAATTCACACGGCCGCCACACGTTATATATGTGTCAACTTCCTAGACGCAAATAGAGATACTGAACATAATTTATTTAAGTCTAACAAAATAATCTAGAAAAATCTTTCGAACCACGGGATAAAATGGGCGAAAAATAACAACCTTTCAAGCAAAAGTCACCGGAGAAACGGTAAAACCAAAGTTTGAAAAAGGTGAAAATTGGACTGCAAAATGTACATATCATTTCTGGGCTGCTTTTTGGGAATTATTCAAGGTATTTTTAATGAGGTCCTGGCAGCGGATAACAGATCTCCCCTGGAAGCTAGGCCAGATTAATCTCAGGAATTTAGTAATTCTAATTCAGTAAGCGGTGCACAGTGTTACTCAATGAGGGAAAATGGCGGACTCTGGAATTTGTATACCCCTCATTAAAGTAAATTGCTAGTTGAGCTATTTCTGAGCTCTTCGTGCGTAGGTCCAAATATATCAAGCCCGACATCAGCTTTAAAAATTACTCGTATGTTTTCTTCACAAAACATGAGGTCCCCAGCACCATTTATACCACAGATGTCATCAGGAACCAGAATAAACGGACACACCCAATTTCACTACCATTGAATATGGAGTGGGGGTTCCAATGCCATTTTTAACCAAAGAATTTTGGGAATTTCTGGAATAAATGAAGAGTGGCGATGACAACACCCCCCTTGATGACAACAGTAAGACAGATAATAACTGTTAACATTAGATGAGCTGTATTCCCTGGTCAGGTTAATTAAATTAACTGGATTAATGACAGTTCAAGGCTCAGGCTGATAAGGAGAACTTGTTACAAATGGTCATAATATTACTGATGTATTATAATATTACTAATTATATATTACTAATATTACTGATGATTGCAGATGCCTTCCCCAGAAATGTCTGGTCTTTTCATGGGAAGGCATTTGCAGTTCTATAAGTAATTATAATCTAAGAGATTTGTGACAACATTAAAAAAATTGTTTCCCAATGCAACAGAGCATTTTCATTCTGATACAGTTGGGACCAGTTTATTAAACTCTGCACGTGGTAGAAATGTTGCTAACATAATTTAAAGATATCACATACTTAACAAGTTAAGTTTAACGAAGATAATATTAGACAGTTGCAATGGCCATCATTCTAATTCTATAATATATGAGCAGAGCTTCTTCAGACACAGTCCTGATCCTACTTGATACTAAACAGGTACAGGTGATCTTTGTTAACAGCATTAACAATTACCAATTAATGAACAAGTTAATTAATTATAAAACGGAGGTATTATAATTACTCACCAGTTCATTAGTGTACTTTATATCTGGGCACTCATCTACACAGTACGGTCCGTCCTTGTAGTTTCTACATCTCGAGCATTGGTTAGACTCCTGCGAGATTTCATCGTTACAATAGCCATCACCATGACAATTATCCAGTTACCAAATCAGCAAATTATCTAATTATCTGATTATCTTACTAGACACATCTGACTGGTTCATGTCAAGAGTAGACGTTACTTTCTGAGTGTTGATTTAATAAAAGTTCGTTTTTGATAAATAGATTAGGCAATATTGCCCGTTATCAGCAACAAATACTGAGATATCTAAAATCAGTTCATTCATTGGAAATTGGAATCAAACAAAGTTCATTCATAAAAGTTTACCATCGGGACCAATCTGATCAAAACTTTACGGGTAACTCAAATACTTTAAATTCCAGATCAAAAAAGTACGTAGCAATTATAAGCTATCGTAACCATTAGTTGAAGTCAGTTAATTGATCGATTAGTTAATCAATTACCACTCAATCAATTAATTATCAGTTAACTGACCGGTCCAGTACAGTTAGAAGTAGGATCGCACTCCGTATGACATTTCTTGCAGTTATTTCCATCCTCATAAAGCGCAATCCCCTGACCAACCACCTGCGATAACATTGAGTCTTAGAGAAATATTTCTTGGGATATTTGAGAACTTCTGATAAATTTTGAAATCTGTTAATTTTATTTTGTTCAGAAATTGCACCCCCGCAAAACGTAACAGTTAACACGTTACAAAAACTCACAGCAGGATCGTTACAAGTGGTGAGGCACTTCCCTTCGAAGGAAAGTCTGCTACACTGAACACAGTTTTCAGGTCCTACTCCCCAGCATCCCCCAATACAGGTGTCGTGACACAATTTCTCGTGTGCTCCTGTAGGTATGCGGGGTCAGTGAAGGCCAGGGGGGAGGAATGTAGGAATGGGGGGGGGGGGGGGGGGGGGGGGGTAATGTAGGAACGAGGTTATTGGGATTAATTAGGAATGTCAGTGGAGAGAAATGGCGACAGAAACGCTAAGATAAGGCTTGCTTTATGATTTCTGTGATTTCTCGAGTCAATAAAGTCCTCAATGTACAAATATCTACCAATTTTGAAGCGCAGAATATATATACATAAATAAGTAAGGAGTGAACTAACGACAATATGAGGAGTTGTAAGTGATGATAATGTCAAGTTGAGGGTTGAGGTCTGGTTTCTTCATGATCCCAGCCAGAGCTTCCTTCTCGGGCAGGTAACACAACGCACTACCGTCTGTAAAAGTGTACATAATTGATTGGCTATTTATCTAATTGATTAACTGATTAATAACTTGATCAACTAATTATTAATCCAGTTTGGTGATGACACTAATCATGTTAATGTTATAGACAACATTTTTCCTTTTTCAATAGACTGTGCGGCGCGGAGGGTTGAACTTTTGTCTTTTATCTTTTCGAAAGTACAATTTTTTCTAATGTGGACCATGACTTGAGGTGACGAAGTAACCTGTTGCACCAAACTCAAAGGGCATTACTATCTTTTGGGCAGATGTTTTAACACAATAACTTGGAAACTGGATGAGAGAAATTTGTAAATCTGGGAAAACCTTTAAAAATTTTCCCACCTCAGCATATTTTATGGCAAGAAGCATTGTTTGTTTTTACTCACTGGCGTATATGATAACCATCCCATTTTCAATGAGCTCCAGGGAATTCAGTCTTAATTCTGTCAGCGCATAGTCTTGGAACTGAAAAATGTGATTGGTAAGTTGATTGTGTTTGATGAGGTCTGTACTATTGATCCAAGGCTGTAAAAAAGTGTTAAAATGCTTTGTATAATTAATCGTCCATATTAAACACACAAATATGTGAAAAGTTTACTATATTTAGTAAAATGGAACATCTCCCATGTTTGTAAAACTATTTCCCTAATCTTGAACTTTAAAAACCACGCTAACTTAGCAAATCTTAAAGAGAGATCTCCCCACTATGACATAACACAGACCTAATGTCAAAATTCAATCACGAAAATGTACAATCTAGTATAATATAACATTGAGAATGTTCGATTATTATAAGTAATATAAAATGTGCTTCAGGAATGCAAGGTATTTGGAGAACATTGCCAACAATCCGGAGTGGCTGTCGACTGTCGTTTCGTTAATTAACATATCCCGCCTAACAGGACCGAGTGTATCGGAACATGACAGGATCGGACGCTCACTCTTTAAACAATCAATAAAATACTGGCCAGTCTTTGTTCATAACTAAACAGTAAACGCGCGGAGTTCTTCTTTTACGTGCCTTCATATCGAAGACAGCCACAAGGGCTATATTCCATCAAAGTACAGTTATTAAACTCAAATCATCGTAAAATTGAGGTGCTGTGAAATCTGGAGTAGTCAACAATTATAACAATTATAGTCTCTGCTTAAAATGGAACTGGATTTTATCCTTAGAATCGAATATGGGGATCCTGGGACGTATTAGTAGGCTGGAAATCGAACGTATAAAGTGCATGAATTGAGTGGGTGAAGGAGAAATTAAGAAACAATTTCAGGAATGAATATCGCATCGAATGTAGAAGTTGTTCATTCCCACATGTAATAGATCTAAACACGTATTTCCCAAAAAGACTTGAACTAGAAATAGTTTGAGGAGAAAGTGCTAGGCTCTTGAGATGACCATCTGTAATCAAATCATGTCTTACCAGCTTCTTAGAGATATGAGCTTGCGACATATCAACCTAATAGTTTGTGGTAAATATAAACTAGCCAGATAGGCGGCTTGCGAACAAACCAGACGGCTTGCTAAAAAAACTAGGCGGCTTGCCAACAAACCAGGCGGCTTGCTAGCCCACCCAGCTACGCAGCTTGCTCAGCAACTTGAGAATTAAAAGTCCCAGAAAAAAATCACAAGCCCGTTTCGCTCGACACAGGAGTATACTATCAAGTTGATCAGAACAGAGCCGAAAAAGAGCGGGAAGTTCAAAAGTATTGCGGAGTAGCGTTGAACTCCCGGCTCCTCCCGGCTCTAAAAGACAAAGTAAAGGAACTGACCGCTTGAACTGTGATGGCGGCTTGAAGGTTGACACGGCACCCCTCTTGTTCATCTTCACATGACTCGTAGGAGTAGGAGGACTTCAGGTGGATCCCCCTGATCCTCTTTAGGTTTCTGAGGGGAGTTGTGTGAACTCTGGAAGCTTCTAAAATGTTCGTAACTTCTATTTTACGACGTTTGTCAAATCGTCGTAAATATTTGTTTTCAGAATCACAGATAATTTTCTGTTAATCCTGTATTACAAAAAATATATTTTTCAGCTCAATTTTCTACTCATCTTAACTCTCAAGGAATGTGAAGAATTGCCACGTACCTGAGAAAGCTGAAGTCAGAGAAGAGGTTGTTGGTGTGAATGCTGAGATACCCAGTTATCTCCTCTACTGTACTCAGCGCTTCCAGAGCGTCACTCGCCATCTCTCCAAACTTATCCGTGAACTTTGAGTCTAAAATATAATAATTGTTCTAGAAGATTCGTACAAAGTTTCGAGAAACAAAAAGATTTGCATTTAATGCACGCAAATATTTTGATTACTTAATATATCATAGTCCGATTAGAAGAAATATTAATAGAACGTGAGCGTAGTCTGAAATATGATTCCTAAGAACTACAATTACAAATTAAACCGAATTTCACACAATATTCCAATATTTCTACAAATTCCAGTGCACATTGCATACCGATATCGATGCTACCCTCGATGATCGTGCAGTTCTGGTATTTGTTCTTGAAGGCTGCAGAGCACCTCTTCATCTTAGGCTTGTACTCGTTACATCTGCCTATACCCAGCTCGGATACGCTGGTAAACCCGTCACACCCTGTAATAATTTACTTGTTATTAAATATCAAGGTGTAACAGTGTTACAAGGTGTAACTGTGTAACAGTGTTACTTGATTAAGTTTTAGTAGTATTACGATATGATGCGATGTTAATTGTTAAATGGTGTTTCTTTATTTTCTTGTAACGTAGTTACATGTTACAGCTTTATTGTTACGATATTAGACACTATGGTAGAGTGTAGGAAATTGTAATGTTACATGTAAATTGGAGACATACACGTTAAATTGTGGGCTTGAGAAAGGCTACAGTTAAGATTTTAATTAAGATCTGAAAACTAGGCTATGCTAAGGATTTGAGGCTCTAGCTTTAAGGCTATACTAAGGATTTGAAGCTGTAGCTTGAGTAAAGTCAGCTCACTGTGCAAGCGTCATAAAGCCTGCTGCTTAACAAACGTATCACTAGCTTTAGAATGTGGTTACCATAGTATGCAAAGCCGCATGGTGGTGTTAATTGTTAAGTTTTGTTGTTAATTGTAGTTAGGTTAGAGTTTGTTGTAAATTGTAAAAAGCCTGCAGTTCATTCGCGTAGAGCTGTTCGGTCTGAGATTACCATATTATTATGTAACACTAAGCTGAAAAAACTAAGTTTTTACAGACTGTGCTGATCTGAAGCGACGTAAAATTTCACTTTGAATTTTATTGTTGAGGAATTCTTAGAGCAAATAAGCAAGGTATATCGTACTTTGTAGGGCATGATAGCAATCCAATACGTCTCCTATTACGATAATCACTTTGAGAATGAAGAAACACCTAAACTCAGTCTATCTATACAATGTTTCGGAAGATTGTTTTGGGCTAGCTGGAGAATTCCGACAAGTGACCCGGAGTGTCCGACAAAGGAAGATAGCATTCGTAGAGTGTTAAATAAATAGTATTAAACCCTGCTTGTCCAGATTTTAAGGGGCCACAAAGTCGCGGGTTCGCATTCACATAACAGTGTGAACTATGCTGTCCTGTTATAATTTATTAGAGGAAGAAGCAGAAAAGTGAAAATTTTAGTGTTTTTCAACCGGTCGCTGCCCGCTGGGCAACTTTTCTGATTTCCTGAGAACCCAAAAAACTCCGAAAAATTGAAGAAACCTAGCGTGAGACACGAGTAGAAAGACCTACAAGTTGGACCTTTAAAAATTAACAATTTCGCATTCTTGAGCTAAATTATGGTGTGATTTATTATAGATCAGCTTTATTTAATTCTTTAAAATTTTCAATCCATGATAATACAAACTATGACTGATGTTTACTCACTCGACAAACATACCCCTAGACGTGGATTTAAAGAATGCAAAACATTTTACAGTAATTCTGTAAATTAAGGGGTACAGTGTACACTTGCCCCTCATGCAGCCCCAACCTAGCTCCAAATATCCTCACAGAACGTTGCAAGAGTGGAGATCAGAGTGGAGTGGAGTATTTAGCAGGTGGAGAGTTCATTGCACTTGCGTGCTGGGCTGACACAACTCATTAGAGCTTTGTACAGTGACACACACACACAAAGATGCTAACTAGCGCTAAAACATAATAGTAATATTATATGTTGGTCAATGGAGAGAGACTTGTCAAAATTGTTTTCTACAAATAAATTGTCTTCAGTTTTTCATAATTTGTATACACTATGCAAAGGCTGAGTTCGATTAGGGATTTGGGTTATTTATTAGGACTATCTTGTGTTACCAGAACAGGTTAAATTTCAATGATTAAGAAGTTAAGAATTTAGGAGTGGCTCACTGGACTTTAAAATAGTTTTTACAAGGGACATTTTAAAAGTTTTAATAATATTATTTATGGACTTAAATCAATTTCGTTTAATAATATTTACTTTTGAATAAGAGATGTGTCGACCATAATCCAGTTACCAAGAATATAAAACCAACTCCCAAAAGTCAATTTATGTTACCGCCCATTTCTTTTCATTGACGTTTTTGTTAAAATAATAAGATGTCATTTAATCGAGTCAGCAACGATGTAAATCATTACCTCGTTCACCTTACTGGGATCAAATTTCAAGCTGGTTGAAATCAATAATACCTTAGCAGATTTGTGGCTTATCTTTAAAATATCATGTGAGAAATAATTGGTTAAATTATCACATTAGTATTTATACACGTTTAAAATGTGAACTTAAAAATTAAATTCTCTAACGTCGGGAGAAGTGTGGAAGGAAGTAAAGACTTTAAATTTAACGAGAATCAAGGTAAATTGTAATATTATCTTTCTAAGTTTAAAAATATAGTAAATCCCATTAATTAAATAACGAGTTATTTTAAAATTACGATTTAAACCAAACCAATGGAGCCAGCTGCCAGAACCCTAAAACTTAGAATATACTTACCGAAATACACAATTTCGCGGTGGAACACGTAACTTTAAATTAGAATTATAAAGAAAGTTTTAAACTTAATAAACAATATTATAGGTCATACAGACTAGTAAAATAATACTAACGTTTAGGGCACCCTTCAGAAGGACAGAGGACACACTTGTTGGTGTGGTGTTCCGTCATCAGGTGGTCTGAGCACTTCTTAACACAGTTCCCTTCCTCCACCAAGAACGGGTCTGAAATAAAGCAGCGTTAAGGAAGGGTTAGATAGGACAAAGAATTATAGCGGAGTTGATATAACTCAGCGGAGTTACTAACTCAGTTAAGATACAATTCTATCTTTTACGAGACATATTTATGTTCGACATAATTCCGGTGACCTAAATGATTTGGGAACGAAAATATGGGAATTTTTTCCGAAAACCGCCACATTTCGTACCCTAAATTAAATCATGGTAGTTGAGGATTTTTGTTAAAGTTTAGTAGTAAGGTAAATGTGAATCATCGTCGCATCGGCATTCATTTTTAGGATTTCTCGGATAATGGCGAGATATTCGTTTAACCACTAATTTGAGGCAATTTAGGATATTTCGTGGATATTACGCCACTTCACTATTTAGTCTGGATACACTAACGGTATTGAGATAAATTCACCAGACTGACATTTGACAAGTGATTATTTACTTAGACGGTAAATTGTCGCCATGTTTGTTAAACCAATGGAATTTCTCGATACAAAATTTACTCCTCTAGACATTATTGAGTCGTGAATGACCACACGAAAACAGTAATAGTTTTGGGTAGTAGTTTTTAGTGATTCTAATTTCTGCAAGTAATAATAAGAGTTTTAGTGATTCTACTAAAGTAATAATAGTTCAGCAGTAATACTAATAGCCCTATCTACCAGTTGGTCTGATTTCACGATTTTAAATTCACACGTGGCTATTAGTTGATAGTTACGCGTTATGTTAATTACATTAATAATTATGTGAATTACACTGGTCAATCGTGTAATAATTATTAATTGTACATGATTTTTGGAGCGTGGAACGCGTTGGAATATCAGAATGTGTTGGATGTATGTACACTCTACACTCACGACTCTACACCAAGGTTCCGCCCTCAAAGAGGTGGTATAGACAGAGGTAACATGTTATAACAGGTCCTCTAGGAAGCGAACACAGACACTGGACACGTGACATTTAACACCTCCATTACCCACGTGGGTACATTCCTTTGGTTCGCGCGGCATTTCAGGTATTTTCAGGTATTTCAACCAGCATTTTATCAGGAGTTCAGGAATTTAAACGGTGAGAAATATGTCTCGTTCCATAGTAAAACCGTACCAGGTTGATATAGTTGGTTATCTCGAATGTTTGCTTGAGTTTGCGTGCTGTGGTAGAATGTAATGAATGTAGACAAGTCAGTGTCCGAGCACTTGGAATGTGGCCAACTGGGACAGCCGGAAAACACTCTGCTCCCCAATACGTGACACGGATAGACCCTTCTGATTGGCTGGCGAGCACGGGGCTTGCTTGTGATTGGCGGAGAGCGATTGGAATGAAGTTGAGGGTGATAATCATGTTAGAGCTGTGAGTGTAGGTGGGTTGGCCAGTGGGAAGCGAGGTGTGGGGAACGACAGCCAATCAGTGGCCAGTACAGAGATATGACAGCCAATCAGGGGCCAGTACAGAGATATGGCTCAGACATATTAATCCGGGTGACAGATCTTTACAAACCAATTCACAGTGACCTTCTAATTCTAAACAAAAGACTTCACAGCTCTTGAACTTTGAAAGCTCTTTGAAAAGCTCCGGTTACGCAGTACATTTACTCCAATTTAAAACCACCGAACTGGCTGATGGCAAATAATTAGGCTGACAGATTTCGTGGAGTAAAAGAAATAAGCTGAAAATTAGAACAATAAATTTAGGTCGTGACACCGTTAATTCGTAGGGAACAATGATTTAGAATGGATTTAGTGTGTCACACGATCCAGCACATTTTGAATTGAAACTTATCACAATATATGCACAATTCAGAAGGCAGGATTAGGAACTTTTTTCCCTACGTTTTATCAAAAACCCCTTCACAAGACACATCTTATAATTGAAACTGAAACTGGTGTAGCCATGACAACACGTACATACCACGTGACCAGCACACCACGTGACACCAGTTGATCACATGACATACAAGCAGTCAATTAGCGTTAATTGAGAGCGAGCTGGTAAACGGAGGAACAGGGATTTGCTGGTTTTAATAAGTTTATAACCTACACGGGCTCTGTGAGTGGGTGCCACTAATAATATGTCATTATTGTTGTGAGTAGCTGTGGTAAGAGGAACAGAGAGAGAGGTTGTCAAGGTACCGGGATATTATATTGGAGTTTAAAAAGTTACAAAATAGTCGTGACCTATTTTGTAATTTTAAATTCTGGAGTTACACGGAAATATTTGATCGAGTGGGTCAGTCAAATTCCTCGTACCAGTTATCTCGCATGATACCCTTGAACCTTATTTTAATATCAAAATGGTAGACCGCTGGCCCTATAGGACGTGTACTTGTCTAATCGTTCAACACAAGAATCACACCAAGTATTATGATTATATCAAATAAAAGCTGTAGACTACTTCAGTGTGTAATGCTTTGTATCCAATAAAACCATTATATTGTGCACATTTTATGCCCAATAAAATAACACCTGAGCACTTCGTACACACTAAAATCACACTTGGCAGAGTTCCAACTTTCCAAGACTCCGAGTCTCAGCGTTCACAGGTTTCCAGTTAACAGCGTGGAACGAGTGCAACAAGATAACAGAACAGTTAGCATGAACAACTCCATAATATTGGATATATACGTATAGTTATGGACACGTTCATTTGAGTTTGAGGATATTGGTAAATATAAGTGACCCTATTAAAAGGCACAGTGTAGTTGACTTTGTCACACTATGAAATTACTTAAACCCTTGATGGTTAGGATAATCGTCTCATCCTCTAGGCTAACTTTGTCACATAACGATATCTTAATCAGGTGATAAGATATCGCTTAAATACGGCCGGCACGGAAATGGTTACATTGTCACACTATAAACATGTGACGGAGTAAATATGGACCCCTTGCTGCCGTTTTTGACCAAATTTTTGAGTGTCTAGTTGATTGGATGGGTACATATGACCATTACCTACATATTTGACGACTTTTTTCGTTAGATGGTGCATTCAGGTTTACTCTGTCACACATTAAAGAAAATATGTGATGAATGTTTAGGGCACCCTGATAAGCAATGCTGAGTAGTGTAAGTTTATTTGATGGCCTGGAAGTGCTGGGAATTGTTATTATATCATATAGTCGTAAGGAATTAAAACACAGAAGGCACAACCAAGCTTACTTTGTCACATAATCTTGATAATATCTGAACATGTGTGAAATTGAACAAATAATGATATACCTGCTTAAACCCCTTATATTATACGTACTATGGATCAAACAACACTGCTAGTACCATGCACCAGTCACATAAATCATTATCAGGTGGTAATATGTTAACAGTGTCACAATTAAACTACCGCTACATGGTCAAAAATAGGGTAATTTCGTCACAACAAATTATTATAACTCTGTTAGCTCCTTGCTGGCAAAATAACTAGTTTATCGAAATTTTTATGATGATAAAGTTACATAGTATTCTAATAGAAGTATAGTTCTTCAAAATAGGGGCAAGACATGTTTACTTTGTCACATCAGTTATTATAAGAGTTAGGTAATCGTCATCATGATCAGATTAAAAGATATTTTTCGTAGTTTGGATCGATTAATACTTTAATATACCTGTAATAAATCCTATGCCAATTTTAACACACTATCTTGATACTGTTGGGGCAGGGAAAGTTAATTTTGTCACATTTTCAATGTCTTTGACAAATTAATCTAAATTTTAAAAATTGAGTTCTTATGTTCTGGACAATATTCTTCCAATCGTTTCTGAAAGAATGTTGAATTCTAATAGAGTTATAGATCTTCAAAATAGGGGCAAGACATGTTTACTTTGTCACATCAGTTATTATAAGAGTTAGGTAATCGTCATCACATTAACATATATTTTTTGTAGTTTGGATTGATTTATATAGGTAATAATTAATAAAGCAGCTTATGCTAATTTTTACACACTATCTTGAAATTGTTGGGGCATGAAAAGTTAATTTTGTCACATTTTTAGTGACTTTGACAAATTTAACCTAAAATTGTTAAACTTAAGCTCTGATGTTCTGGACAATATTCTAATAGAGGTGTAGAATATAGATCTTCAAAATAGGGGCAAGACATGTTTACTTTGTCACATCAGTTATTATAAGAGTTATTATAAGAGACTATTTCATTCTATAATCATTGTTTTTAATCTATTTACGATTTCGTATAATTTTTTGTGACAATGTAAACATCAACTGATCTTAACTTGCATCAACTACATTGTCATCATATAAAATTTTCCCGCCTTTCAAACCAAAATCAGATATAAATTATTCGCCCAAAATTTTAAATTTCATATATTGTGACAGAATTAACCTCATTTCCCAATAACCAAGTGCCTGTATTAGCTAACTATTCAAAACAACATATTTTAGGGCTATGCTTGGTAAAGCAACCCTAAAATAATGAGTTGAAAGGGTTTTTAGGACACCTCCCAGTAGAATAGAGGTATGGTATCATGAGTGTGACAAAGTTACCCAAATATTGCCTTGTAACCGTTCGATCCGTGCCCATTAACCAATGTTGTATCATAATTGTTAGATAGACCTAATTTACTATATTTCAGACCAAGGAATGATAATTAGACAACTGCAGTTAACTAAGTCACACAAAATGTGACATTTGAAACATTATAGTGCCTAACAACAATAGATTTTCTTTCTGAGCGGTGCATATGGGACTATGGGTTACGTGGCTAACGTTCAGAACTTCTGAACGTGCTAGGTTAATAGATGTCAAAATTAAGCCACTATCGTCAAAAACGCTATTATTTTTGTTTACCAATATCCTCAAACTCAAATGAACGTGTCCTTATACACATATCATTCACATAATATCATAACATATTACATTCACTGTTACTATACAGGGAACTAGCTGCTCGACTAACTATGATAACCATCTATTATAGATCTAACACTATTCTGTAAACTTATTCTAAAGTTACCAGATTGTCCCTAACTCACAGGTCTCTCTAAAGTACCTTGCATTCCTCGTGGAGCCTCAGAGAAAGTTCTTAATCGCTTGAAACAGCGATTTAAATCGCAATACTAATGAACTGCTTGAGAGAAGACAGAAATTCTGTCACGGAATCACTACCCAAACGGAACAAGTTTGTCGACTGTAGCATATCACCCTACAGCTCGATTTAGTGAAACATAATAACTGACAGCTTTGCACATCATTTTCTTTAATACTGGTGAAAAATATAATTTTCACATGAGAATAGAAGACAACAAAGCGCTTTGTGTACTGGGACGAAACATTATCGTGCTATGAAGTGAAACACAAGGAAATATTTTCACTTACTGGGGCATTCTTCTAGACATTCGTTGCCGAGTCCGTAGAGGACATCAGGGTTATCCACCATTTTGAACTGGCCTCTGTCGTAAATCTTGGGTGGTGGACAGTTCGTGACACATTGTCCTGCAGCGTCGAAGTTCTTGCAACCCTGAAATAAAGTTAGGTAAAAATCTTGGAAACCTCCAGAACTTGTACCGTCGGATTTATAACTATAAAGTGTGTAAACCCTGTATTTTTGGACCAATGATGCATGTCTATCGTCTACTTTAAGAATTAAGACAGATCCATGTGTTTCTTGTTTGTTATCCGTACAAAAACTGGTGGTTAAAATCACGATATTCAGCTGGTTACCGTCAGATGATATAAAGTTTTAAAGTTCGCAATATCTTAAGTTTCTCGTTCTCAATGTGTCAGTTTTTAACAAAACTAGGCTAGTGGGACGTCACTGATGATCCTATTAATTTGTTAATCTGTGACAGAATATTTGTGTAATGGTGCGATATCATCAACATTGGTCACTAATAACAAACTGTGACGATCTGTACCACGCTTGACAGTGTTTAACTCGTAAACACAAAGGATCTCAAAATTTCAGTCGAAATGAGTAGTAGAGCATGCAGAGGAATTTAAAAAATCTGTTGTGTTGTCTGTTGGCATGTACACTCCACCATCATCCTGCACCAAGCTATCTCTCCAAGTACATCGTCAACTATTTGGACCACTGCCAAGAACAAAATACTTGAGTGTCGGCCCCACGGGGCTCCCTGCTTGTATTAATTTTATCAAGAGCCCAATCATTGTAAGATCGCGGACACTGACCTAAGTTACTCCCACTCCAAAACAGAATCCTCCCTCACAAGGTCTAATTCTTAAAGCGAGAGAGAACTTGTTCCAGCAGCTTTTATTCGAGGATTACAGCTAAGAATGTTGCATGTGAACGTATGACTGGATCTGGCTTGAGGACTTGCATTCTTGTGGCACACGCAGCTCTACACACACAAGCACGGGGGCAAGTCACGTGGACGGTAACGTGGCGCGCAGAAAGTCACGTGACCAAAACCCCGTCAGGTGGCAGATAAAGTTTATCTTCAGAGCTGCAAGAGAGACCGGGAGAGAGAGAGGTCTGGAAATGTTGGCGAGCGCTGTGAGCGTTATACTTCAGCTCTACTTCAGTGGACGGTACCTGCCTTTCACGTCATCACTTGCCCAGCTCGCTTGTTTTCATATGGACGCGAATGTTATTGCTGTATGCTAAATAGCTAAATCCTGAGCGAGAAAGAGCTGGACTTTTTCCATAAAGTGTGTGGAGTCAGGGTGACGGCAGAACCAGTCGTGCTCTCAAACCATGTCCTACAAACGTCGCCCTAGCTAAAGATCAGTGAAGCGGGGGAGAGCCAGTCTGCGCTTGTGCAGTGAAACATTACGATTCGGCGGTTTGGTGAATGTCTGCGTCGTTAGATCACGACCAAAAACAGCAGAACAAATTTAGAGTGAGGGTTACTTCATCTCTACTGTGTTTGTTGTTTTAATAGTTTCTTAACAAGGAGGATATTCCGAGATATGACTCAAACACCCACATAATATGAACTTGTGTCTTAACTCAATAGATGAATAACTGAATAACTTTAAACCAATGCAACTCCATTAATTTGAAACATCATCCTGGCATAACTGCATTATAATATAACTACAAAATGCCACCAGAAACTAACTTAGTGACCAGTTGATTGAGTTACCAATCTTTAGTTAATCGCATTTGTGACTATTGTTCGAATTACAAATATGATCACGTCGGATTGTTTAGATGGTTTCGATAAATTCTGGAGAAAAATGATCTGTTAATTGATAACTTCACAAAAACTTCGTAACATTATTGATTATTTATCAACACATACGTACATGTCTTATATCATCCTTGCACAAATAATCGCACAAAGAATCCGTGGTGATAAAACCAGACTAATCATGAATCCAGAATGACTTTTGGTGCCATATGCGGTGCATTAAAAGCATTAAAAGCTCGTAACTATCCCGATTCCCGCCCTTGACGATTAATATTAGTTTAAAGATAAGTATTGGATTTACCCCTAACTACATGTTATGCTGTAGATATAATAACAGTCTTAAATCATAGCTAGGAGCCCCGGAGGCCGGAGCAGACAGCAATCTCAAGTCTCTCGTCTTTGTAACATATCTTATCAGCCAGTAACCATAACAACTACAATAATACCTCACTATGCAGTATACAGCTGCAGACGTTGTGTTATCTCTACTGTGTGAGCATACTCATTTACTGCTCTTATCATGGAATGTGGCAATTACACGCTCTACAGATTCCCAGCGAGCTCTCGTCTCCCGATCTCACATACCTGAGATTGCAGATCTCTTTGTGCACGTGCACGTGCGCAAACCACGTGTAATCTGGTCACATGATGTGAGGGAGTGTTGTAATTGGTTGAGGCTTGTCAGTATTTTCTGCAACGCTTTCAGAGCCCTACCGTGGGGTTTTCTAAACAGGCACATCGATTACACGGCAAAACGCAGCTGAAAACTCTCTAAAATAAACCTCAGGAATGCCAACTATTTCAGTTTACCAGCTGCTAAGCCGCTTAAACAGTTAAGTATCGTTACTATTGTTCAGATTCATAATCGGCACGTTTTCCAGGGTTGGGTTTGGACAGATAACACAAAATTTGACAAAGCCCAATCAAGGTTGAAGTTTACCGCCAGCTGCATTACACACGACATGTCACAAGCCCGAAATCCAGCCTTGTAAATTCCATGAACTTATCAAGCAACAATTTACACTATACTTGACTTGGCCTTTATTGCTAAGAATCTAAAGTTCTTCGGGTACAAGGCAGTCACAAGTCTCTTAGAATCGATATGAGTGTGGCGAAATGAGACTGCTTCGTTTACCAAGATTCCGAAGATTTGGCAGGAATGATGAAAACCGAGTTACAACAGTCTGTATCATCTTTCTTGTAAATTCCAAACAGTAAACTGGAATTTTGGACCAGAGTTACCTGTCTGCTTTTTAATGCAGGGAAAACAAGGCTAACCAAATTGTTCTCTAAGACCGTCGTCCGTCAAGTTCTACCTTGCACTTCAGATGTGGATCTTTATTGCAATATTGTTATTTCAGGGGTGTAACATTCAATAAAATACCAAGCACCCAACTAAAAGCTCATCCTCGGACCCTGATCACACCACTCTTACATGTCCTCAAACCACTCTTACATGTCCTGAAACCAATGGTGCTTGTTTACAGATGAAATGTGTTTATAAATAGTTAGTTTACTATTTTGCCGACAGTTACCCTTCACCACCCCCTAATATCGAGATTGCACATCTTTACTACTTGCTAGAGTGCTAGACACACAAATATGGCTCGAATACGTCCGATACGTGATGATAGAGTACAGACCCTCTGAGCATGAGAAGTATTGGTGAAGGAGCACAAGAGACTCGTCCTTCAGCCACAACCGATAAAACACACGGGTATTATATTTACCATGTTGTTGTGTGTACTTTCCAAAATACGGGCTAGTACTACGAGTTCCGATACTCCTAATAATACAGCTAGCCGATCATGGTCAGAACCAATCAGCACCCAGTTTCGGAGTCACGTGACGATATTTGACCAATAGGATAGCTTGGTGTGACCGATAGAAGGTCACGTGGGCCAGATAACCATGCTCAGTTTTTGTAAGGGTTCCCTTTATCACCGGGTATACAATCCCGCTATGCTACACTAGTGTCAGCGTCACACATCAAACCGGGACCTGTTCAAATAACACGTATACAGGAGAGATAGAGAGAGAGAGAGAGCCTCTCAAAAAACTTGTGCGAGTGACAGGATATATCTCTTGATGCCAAGGTTTAAGGTAAATTCTAGACTGCTTCAACCGGTAGCCAGCTTGCCCTCACAAGGTATAGGTATTAGATAGTCAATGTCAGAATCTGTTTCCCATCTGGAGACTACCACAGAATTGATGGTAATAACCCTGGATAATCACACTCACACGGTTTAGACTTTATGTGACGTTAACAGCCTTGATCCTCGTTAGAACTTAGAACAGAAGGGTTTGTGAAATGAACCTCTGAATAAAATTCTTCAAACTCTTACAAGACTCTGACGTTTCTCTTGAGTCTTTTTGCTGGTACAAGAGTCTGACATGATTCTTATAAAGAATCTGACATGATTCTTATAAAGAGTCTGACGTACGGCCACAGTTTCGTCGTCACACTACACGGTCTTGCTATAAAGCTATAAATAGACATTCTCTTAAAATATCACACACTTTACTGGGATGACGACATTCCTTGAGAGAGATTAAATCCCGTTACATAGGACCCAGTACGGCAGTACGCGTTACACCGGGAAGATACTAGATAGTCGAGAGTCACCCTTTTGAGAGTTCAGACTTAAGTGCTTAGTCCCGGACTAAACTTCCTTTACCATAATTTACATCATGTCCCCAGTCGTTATTTCCGCGTTACTTTACGGTATTGGTAGTCTGATAGATTTGTCAATTTAGGTCAGAGCACTCAGTAGGGAAAGATCTAGAACAGCGAGGGAACCTGGTAGATAAGATGATTTGACCTGAGTGAGAATCAATCTGTTAGGACGAGCTAAACCAGTAGGTACCTCAACAGACAAATATATGCCGAAAAGTGCCGTGAAACGTGCCGAAACGTGCTCCTCTCAAATTCCAGAAGGTGCACATTCTTCGATCTAACGGCGTGAGTGGGAGTAGGAGAGTGTCGCGGAGGAAGGGTCGGACGGCAAACGTTAGAATGTGGTATCTGTTAATTTAACACAATACTATATCGAGATCCGGATCTGTTACTTCTGGCACATATCATCATATCCAGATAGTTTGTAGCAGGCATATACAGATATTCTGTAGAACATAAATATCAAGATATTCGTAGCAGGCATATACAGATATTCTGTACCAAACGTAGCAAGAATCAGGACTTCTTGTGATATTCAGCAGGTTCAATTGACATGGATATAATTTTTTCAAAATGCAGGTACGCCCACGTGCCCTTGAATAAGCGGTCTGAATGGCTACCTGTACCGTACTCTGATCCCTGTAGGTACCACGAAGCACATTATAGGCAGCTTATAATATATAAAAACAAAAATAATAAGCTAGATTACCCTAGCATGTAAAATTACTGTGTTATTAACCACAGTGCTGAGTACTGATAGAGTCACTTTAACCCAACCTCCAGGGTACCCTGTTAGTCTTACCGATATCCTGTTACCGATACCCTGATACCATGTCACCGCTGCAGGTTCCAGGGATTGCGCAGGTAATTAGAAGACCGAGATAGCGAGATAGAGAGAGAGTATGTTTTGCTGTTGAAGGTGTGAGGATGTAAATCCTAATCTAGGTGTGGTATCTGTCAAGATACAAGGAGAGAGAGAGAGAGAGAGGGAGAGAGGGAGGAAGGGATGTGGGCTGATATTGTACTACTGCTCACTTATATCATGCTCTCTTTTAGAAAATCTTTCCTGAAAACTTATCCCCGGAACGTCTACACAAATGATGATAATGATGATGGGAGTGTACCGTGTACCATGTAGTAGGGAGCTGCAGTAAGAACCTTGTTTGTGGAGAGCAGAGGTATGTCGGAGTGAGAGAGACAATATATTAGAAATGTTGATGAAATGATATCGTTTCCCCGTATTAATAATTTGCTGTCTTCTAACATGCCTGATAAAATGGTCCGATAAGAAGGACCACACCTTTGGCAGGGTACTTACCTTTCGGAGACTTTCTAATTTGTCATTAGTTCACGCTACATTCACATATATTGAGTTATTGGAAACAGTTTCTTACTCGATATACTGGGGAATGTGATATCAATTGCATCTTGATATCCAATACAGATCCTATTTTAGTAGTTTATATAGTAGAAGATGACACTGAATTGACTCTCTAAAACAAGAATACATTTCCAAAGTGTTGAGGAGCTAAGAATGCAAAGCTCGTGCTCAAGTATCTTAAAAATACGACCAAAAGAGATTTCTCAAAGAAGCAGAACTCTTCAGCATTGCAATTCTCAATTCCCTGCCCGGATTCCTACATTCTCCTCCTCACTCATATCCTACTTCTCCCCTGATTTCCGGCGTGAAGACGACCCTACATACTCAACCAACGTTCAGCTTACACCACGACTTAGACTAGTCTAAAGAGGTGGCAAAGATCAGGGTGTCCTATTATCATGACCTATCATCAACTGTTAAGAGAGTTAAACAGGAGCAGGTTCATAATATCTTCCATCTCACTTCCTCCTTACTTCATAGGTCGGTGTGCTCACTTCACCTCATCTTCAGAGGTCGGTTAGGCAGGCTGGCGGGGGAGAGGGAGATGCTGGAGTGAGGGAGCAGGAGAGAGGGAGGCGGGAGAAGCTGGAGGTGTGATATCACACTGATTGTACTGAGGAGCTTGTACAGTGGAGGTGATTTCCAAAGAACGTGCAAAACTTGTATAATGTGTCAACTGTCCATGTCAGTCCGCTACAATCCGGTTAATTCGTGCAGAATTAGGAGTTTTTACTGAGTTTGATGTTTTTGTACAGCACTAAAGTTATATATCAGTGGTAGGAACCATGGCTCCTGTCATTCAATTTACTTGATAATTTTTCTTTTTTTTCATCCAAATCTTGTTACAGCATTCCAAACTCATGTAAGATCAGAGACTAGACAATCAAAAGAATAATGTATAAGCAGTTTATACTTTTATAGTCATCCCAAGCTCATTTTTAGCGGGACAGGCAGTAATCTTAGCGAGTGCGTTTACAACGTAAACAGGGTCAATCTGTGATTGTTGTTTCAGCGTATTCTACTAGCATGTTCATTGTTCGTACTATTGTCCTCAAGCTAGTCGCAGATTCTGAGTCAATATCTTCTCAGCTAATATCTAACATAGCACACTTAATTCCTGCACGTAAGACACATCCTTCAATCTGAGCGAGATACGTGGCATTGTGATATAAATCCAGTCACATTATTTGTGACGGGTATTTTTGCAGCTTTACCAACTGTAGTGAGTCCAGGAAATGTTATCAGCTAATTCAAATACACTCACACTGGGAAACTGTACAAGATCACCCCCGCAAAACGTTCACACTCCCAACCAAAACAAAGTTCTCAACCGAAACCTAAACAATCCCAAGCAGGATTAGGTTACACATTTGACGGGAGCTGTAGTGGCCAGGGAACGATATATCTTAATTACTCTGCTGGAGTAGCTTATAGTTGTAGTTGAGTAGCTTTGAAGGAGCTGGTGCTGTTCCCCAGGGAGATAGAATAGCTGGGAGATATGTTAAAAAGTTAACTTCCAACAGGGGAATGCAGTATACCTTGATGCAAACGTCAGCTAGCTAAAGTATGGCCTGGTAATCTAGTCTGAAAGCACGGAAAGTAGGGCGGAAGTGAGGGTGAAGGCAATATTAGAGTTAGTTGGAGGACTGGAAACGTCTTGTCAGATCCGGTCAGTTATAGGCTTTCTTGCGGGTCGAGAATAGATGTATTAGCTATTTATACGGTAGCGGGGAGATATTTGCATTATTTATGAATTGTTAGGTATTCAGATCCCGTGGTGCGGCGCGTCCTCAGATCTGGCATCCGTCCAAGAATTTCAGCAATGACGTCACTTTTCCGAACATTGCATTTGTGAAGTGACGAGTTTTGCTTGACGCCTGGTCTGAATATGCATTGCTCAAGATTTACCTACCATTATAGCCTGACCATCATTATCTTGGAATGTGTTAATCCAGAAGCCGACATATGTACAAACATCCTCATTTTTCTATAAATAGATGAGATTTTACGATCATGGCGACTGGACTGGTTTTGCTTTTGACGAACATAAGTACTCGACGAATTTACGTTTCCGCCTTATGATATTTTAAATGGCACAATTGTAAAAGATGAGAAAGCTTGGAAACTTATAAACTTCTTGTGACTTTGCGACCATTTAATCGCAACATTTAATCTTGAATGGAATATTCAATAAGAAGAATGAACAATTTTGTGATCAGGGTAAACTAACCAACAGAAACAACAGAAAAAACAAGAAAGAAGAAATACTCACAAAGCAGTCCGCGTTGGTCATTCCAGTGCACCCTCCACTGCATTCCTTGTGACAGCAGATGGGGATGTCTGGGGAGTCGTCTGCGAAATAACATCTTCCTCCAGGACATTGGTCCTGACACACTTCCATACTCACTGCGGGGGATGAGTCATTAGTGATCAGGTCATTAAGTCATTAATTGGTTGATTTGTGAGGCTGAGAGATCAAGTAATTGATTGTTTGGTAGAAGTATAGATTTTGTATTATTTATCTTAAATACTGAACAGGGGGACGGGAAATACTGTCATTCATCAGATATAACATTTAATAACACATAACTACAGACAAAAAGTAAGTGCCGATATCTTATTATGAAGCTTTACAACCTCCAAAAACTAGATACGTAGCTAATTATATGGTGGCTGCGTGTTGGTCTATATTCGTACCCCAACTCCACTGCACAAACCAACAGGTTCGATCAGAAACTCTGCTTAAGATTGATATCTTTTGAGCGCTTTTTCAGTTTATATAATTTCGTTTAAAACTTGGTGAAACCTCAAGCAAGTGGATCGCTAATAATTAACACCTGTCACATCCAAATTACTCAGAATCACGATGATTAAATTTAACAGACGTTGAAGTAAACGGGTGACAAACATAATGATAAGACCATCAATGTAAGATATATCACTCTGTAAATTGACTGGGTCCCCAACAAGGCTATTATTTGACAAGTTAGTCATTAATATAATCAAATTTAGGGGGAATATTGGCAAATGCGGTTGACAATTGCCGATTCATTGGCGAGGTGAAGGTTCAATACATATAGATCACGTACCTTGCAACTGTGCATAAATTCGCAAAATTGAAATTTCTGCTCTCGGATATCGAGAGGCATTCAACCCAACAATCAACATGTGTAATTCTTTACCATAAGTTCACCAAATTACAGTTGGGGTGCTATTCGCGTTAATGTTTACACCTATAGCTACGTGAAAATGACGAATTCAAATCGCTCAAAACATTGCCTCAAGAAATGTCAAAATCTAGGTCAGCCTAGCAAATGAACTGAGGTAGAAACAAATATTGACACAATATGACGGGTAGAGCTCCACCAACAGAGACAATATGAGCCAGGAAATGAACCCTGCAAGACACAATGAACACTGTCAATATCAAGCCACGTGATTTCACCCTGTTTCATACACTACATTCTACAACATGTGCAGGTACATGTATATCTTCACAATTGCAAAGTACTAGATGTAACACCAAGTATAAACAGGGCAATACTAGTTGAACAAGGTAAAACAACTTGTCAGACAAACAGGGCAAACATGATGTGAACTCTTCTGTCACAGCACTTATTTGACATTTCCTACCCAATTTTGCACATTTACACGAGTTCACGGGGCCTTCTCCCGAAAATTGCGGGCCCTTCACAGACATTTCGTAGTCCCCCCAACAAGTAGCACTATATTTATGGAAGGCTGATATAACTAAGGAGTATAATCGTTTAGCGTAGTGATTCCGCACGGATAGGAAAATTAAATGGGTAAATAGGAATGTCCATTCTTGTAAAGATTAAGGTAGGCTTCAATAGAAATGTCAGAATCAGTTGAGACGTTGTTATTTTACAATATTTTAAGGATTTTTTGGCTGTTTGACAGTGAAATGGGGTGCAGGAAGCTGTATTTAGTTTAGTTTTAGTTGAGTGTTTTGGCAGCGAACCAAAGAATGGCATGTGTTTAAATCTGTTTTGAACATAAATCTCGTTTACATTTTTGAGAGACTGAGCAATGAGTTAGCGCACTTTTTAGTCGGCCGCTAACCTAAAATATTCGCTAATAAAGCATTATAGCTGATTTTCTAGACGCACATATAATATCTTCCTGAGAATAATTATTTGTCTACAACATCTCCAGACATTTCCCAAGTTCTATCTCTCCTCCACAACGTTTCCTCCGCTTGTCTAGTAGATGTTGGCGGCTCCACACCACACCTCAAAGAAAAACAGATTCCTCCTCCAGATTCCACAAGTTCCAGGATCAAAGATTGGCATGTTATTAGAGGTAATTAGAGTGTAGCGCGTAATTAGGGGAGTGTAGAGTCAGAGCATGATAAGGGGAAGGAAAAACAAGGCAGGACCGGTCACTCAGGAGGACGAGGCGGGATTAGAGGGGCTAGCTGGAAGAAGGGCATCCTAATTGAACTTGCTTATCACTTCCAATTACTTGTTATATAATAGTGAGCGGGTGTTTCACTGTACTTCACACAGATATTATCGTGTGTTAGGGGACTAATGTCTGGCAACTACAGTGTTTATTTGTATTATAAACTGGGCAAAGTTGCAAGCCAAGGAGGGGGATTTGTGTGGGTTTGGTGGAGTTAGTAACCATTCGAGTACCCCAGTAAATTGAAATGACCCTTGAAGCACTGGAGGTCTCAGAGTACAGTCAGAATCTTCCCAAGAAGTCAGGTGTGTTAGGACAGCAAAGAGAGGAAAAGATTTGACCGGTGCTTGCCGCTTGGCGGAAAACTAGACGAGAGAGGGCTTGGCGGGAACTGGGGGAGAGGGAATAGGATTGTTAACAAGCAAGGACGGGCCAAACCATCACACTACACCACACTACACCACACTACACCACACTACACCACACTACACCACACTACACCACACTACACCACACTACACCACACTACACCACACTACACCACACTACACTACACTACACCACACTACACCACACTACACCACACTATAACACCACACAATATAACTGTGTGTAGTGTGCATGATCATACTCCGGACCATGTATAGATAGACGCCTAGAGGGACGATGGAAGTAGGGATAGTCCGAACACAGCGTCATGGCTTGGCTGGTTTTACTTGGATTATGTCCCAGCTTGTTGCTAACAATACTAGTAAATGCGTCACTTTACTCATTACGTATGGGAATTTTTTAACTGCTTGAAATTATCAGCTTGAATAACTACTCCAGGTTCGATTAATATTTAATTTGAGATTTAGTCGGACTGTCGAAATGCCTCACGTATCTTTCTTGGATTATTTAACAAATTCTGAAACCTTTTTCTAAGAATTTAAAGATCAATATTTCTAAGGTTTTCTGCACCATAGACACGAACACCACACAGCACCACATTGGTACAGATATGGATCACCCAGTAAGTAAGTAAGTACAAGAGGGGATATCACAGAGATAAGGACCCGGGAGGACAATAGGAGAAGATTAGTTAGCAGCAGCTGCTGAGTAAGCTCAGCAAGTTAGGAATGTAACGGGAACATACCGATATATCATCTATATGGTATAATTATCCTGCAAACTGCACTGCACAGATTTCATTATTTATAAATCTACCAGTCATGCTGCTGTTTCTAGCTGAAGGTTGCTTTATCGTTTTAATCTACATATATCTGTTCACTGGTAACTGGTTACTTTTTAACTGGTTAAGTAGCCATGCTTTCGTTTGAATGAAACTATAGAAGAGCTAGTCGGTGGTCACGCACAAGGCCTGGTTACTACATCTTATCAGGCCTGAACTAAAGTACTTCAAACCTGCTGCCGCTTTCTACTTTCTTGATGCAAACACCACACTTTACAGGGCCAAGTGCTAGAGTTAATTAAATTTAAACACAACATTGTAACTTGAAAAAGAAACCTTTAAGTGCCATGCCATGAACTGCAACTTGTTCAATAAAACACGTGCTGTTATTTAGAAGAAGAGAAAGAAGAGGTAGAAGGAGACAGTTGCCCATTCCCATGGCAACCTGTCAAGGTTGTGAGACTAATCCCGGACTTCACTCCAGTTTCATGTCTGGGCAAGTTTAACTCCCCCTTTCAGTTTTCACCGTACCTAGTCTCACCCGCTTACCAGACAACTTATTTACCTGTTACTTCTTCCTTAGTAGTTGAGTACCGGCAAGCTTGTTACCATCAAGTGCAGTAGAGCATAATTGGGAGTTAAGATCAGAAATGTACCGGTGAGTTTTGGAGATTTTGACATAGCACGTACTGTAGCTGGATGAGATCAACACAAAGAATCGGCTACCTACTGAGTTACTTTTCTGATGGACCTAATTCTGACTTAAAATTAACTTATGCTTATTGCTCAAGTTTACTATGGCCCTGTGACAGCTGCGGAATTAGGTTCACATTGGAGTAACTAACTCTCTATTTTCAGGAAATTCTGAAGAAGTATCGTGTTGAGAGTGCGAAATATTAAAAGAACGTGCGATATCTGACATTAATCGGCTATATTGACCGATTCAACCAACAGATCACTTTAAGGAATGGTACATTATTTTTCCTAATCAATTACAGACAAAAATATGCCAAGTTTTATTCGGATTTTCAGGAAAACCGGCATTTATATTGCTATAATATATTATAATGAACCATGATTTCTCAGTTACTTTTAGATTTTATACGCACAACCTGTTATTGTTAATTAAGATATCTTTTTATATCATTTTACATTGCAGTGTCTAAAACGGGAATGCTTAAAATATTTAAAAACAACTCAGCACAGCCAGGCGCTTTTTGCAGATAACACGTTTTAAACCGAAATCAAATTAAAGGCATTTACATGTAGTCTAATTAAGTACAGTGTATAAATGTTTTGACTGCCATGCATCCAGGAACAGTCGCTACATCGTATTATAGTGTGTACACGAACTAAAAATACTGGGTATACATAATAACATGTTATATCATAACATTATATCATATTATACCATGATAATAATATTATGTTCTACATGGTATACCTATGTTAGGAGGTATACGAATGTAGATTGTATTGATATTATAGTGTTTGTGTGTTGGTTTTACCGCTCCTCCGTTATGATATGAGGAAGCCCTGTAGTTGCTATAGTAATTCTCTGGATCATACGGCGGGACAAAGCGTGGCGGGACAGATGGTAGAGTGCTGGAGGGTTTTTAAGTTTGGGGCATGTTATGTTATGGGACATTTTGAGGGTTATTTGTAAATTTTAATTTTTTAGTTTTATGAAATATATGAGTTGGTATTATATTATCTGGTCTAGGTATTTCAGAACAGAACATAATCAAACCTAATATTCGTGAATTAAATGGCCGCTATTTTTAAAAAAATTATTTACCACGATAATTACCCTGGAAGGCGAATGAAACCGAACATTATAACTGTATTATTATAGATGACAGATAATTTGGCAGTCAACTTAAAACAAACACACCCCTCACTGATATCGCAAACAGAGTAAAAATGGGCACTGATCTAGTGATCCACGGGTTTAAGTAATAAAGCAGCATACGTGGCATCATAATCGTCGGATACACTTAAAACCGCTAAAACTAACAACTTCAGCAAGAATCAACATTCAACATGAACTGTATACCGACCGAAAATAACCTTCAGTCTTATTAACCAACATTATCTCCCAAAAACGACTCCACTAAACAAAACGCCCAAACACCAAATAACTAATCAGCAGAGAAAAGGAACGTTAAACTAAAAGACAGCGCTAAAATAGCTCACCATTACCGGGATGAATGATCCAAAGGCACATTAACAACAATCCCACAATAATCCTTAATGCCACCTTATTAAATGAGTGCCCTGGAACCCGAGGTGGCATGGCAACCGTACATTAAGGACCTGTTAATAAAACTAATAGAACATCTTACACTATCTGCTAGCTCAATGGTTCCTCCCCCTCCTCCGCTAAAACCACATCTGTCACTCCCAAACCCTCCCCCTAATCTCGCTCAAACTCCCGCTCCTTCACCAACTTTCTCGCATGTTCCCCCAACAGGAAGGCATTCCATGGGGCTAAGGAACCTGTCCAGTTGGATCATCTAGGGTTACCAGTTGGATCGTGGAACCGCACGATATTATTATCGGCAACTCTCCAATAGTATGTTAAGTGGCGAGGGAGAGAGAGAGGGAGCCAGAGGGAGCCTCAGTCTCTTACTTTTACCAGATACTATAGTGTTACCTGTGATGTAATCCTAGGTGTCTAGTACATACCTTTTTCTATTAACCCCGTCAACTTTTGGTATTTTAATGAGATCTTCATCGCATTAACCGTGAAAGGAGACTTGTAACAGTAAAGGGGGTGAGGAGCTCAAAAGAGGGGTGCGCTGGGCGGGAGTGGGAAGGGTTAAAGTTACAAGATGACGTCGTGTCAAAGCAGTCATTAGTAATGGTGCCGTCATCAGGGCAGAGGGTTCCAGAAATAGTACCAACATTTTCCAGTTCATATATCAGAGGCAGAAGGAATATTATGTGTTACCGCAACACAAGCCTTATCAGTGTTACATCTCCGTTTGTAACGAGGTATTAATGTGACAAAACATAAAGTTGGGTGCCGTGTAATGTAGGTTACCACCTCCTCACTACTGGTGCAAAAAGTTGATATCAGTAGCTGATACCGTCACCAATGTCGGTACGTGTTTTGTAGTAAAAACGGTAAGTTTCTAGTTCTTACGGGAATCTAGTCGTATTTTTAAATCATGTATCAAAGTTTAAATGGGTACTGCACATACATCTCAGTATTTAGGTTGCGGTGAAAACAAGGCTACAGCTATATCCGCGGAGAATCGGGTCTCTACTGTACAAGTTCACTGTTAGTTTACAATTGATCAAAATTCTAAACAATACTGGGTATGGTTATACTTTTAGTGTAAATTTACACTAATCCCAATTAATGTGCAGATAGATCTCTTTGGTAACGATAATATGTCGTTACTGATCAAGTATAATGTGTGTTAAAGTATCAGATGTGTCATTTAACTGTTGTTAAAAAAATGTTAGAACGCTCATGGAATGTTCTAGAGCCACTTTTCTAATTTTCTGACTCATGTTTTATCTGTCACAGTTACAGGGCAGGATAGTGGATATATCTTTTAAATTTGTGGGGATGAAAAACCTCTTCACGTTACGAAATTCCGGTTTTTCTAATTCCTGTATCTCAAATTAATAGATTACATCCGAAGTAGTTGACCGTACTAAAGATTCGGATTCAACTCATTTTGGAAGCCAGACGTTTTCGTCTACATTTTCGGACGAATTGGGGTACTCTCTAAGTAAACTTAGATAAAAGAACCGACCTTACCTTACGATGGAGCGGGCTGGAGTTAAGATTGAATATTTGATACCCTTATTAGACCATCCCTCTGACAATGATCGTGGCTGAGATCGCCTGGTACCGGCTGGAAAGTGTAGCTAAAGAATGCTCGGGTGTGTACGGTGAATAATCTAGCAATCTTTGAAATGTTTAGCTGCCCACCTTCGAATTTGATATGGTCTGATAATTAGGTTTGTTACATACCAAAACACGGGGGGAGTGGGTCAGAGTGATTTCACACTCCCGAGAGAGGTGGATACCTTGAATTCCAGAACTTTACCCTACCCTAATAAGCACCGTATAAAACCCCAGTCAATAACATAAGTCACCAATTCAACTTAATCCCTCTTTTTTTCAAGGTCAATTCCCTTTAAAATTAAGCGAGGAGAATTTATCATGTTAGATTGAATCACCAGAATACCCGGAAGTGTGTGACCAGGTTCTAGTTCGTGACCTCAGGCCAGGTTATTACCTAATAACTGTGAGATTAGAGCGGTGAAAGTAATGTGTGATCGGTCCCCGACCATCAATATATACACACACACGCACGCCGTGATGTTAGCTCATACGCTATTCAGGGAGATATGGGTCCTTTGCTTGCCAATTTCTCTGTCCTCTCTTGTACATTATTCCCTTCCTAACTCTCTCGCATGCAATCAGACTTACGCTAAACACTCGATACTCTGTGTATACTGTAGTACAAGGGCTCTTTTTCAGGAGCTTGTCCCTCAATCAAACCAATCAACAAGTCTCTCAATCAGGAGCAGTTTATCAAACCAATCAATGAGAAAACGTAAGATATAAAAGCACAGGGCAGGTGGCAAACACATTAACCCAACAACACAAAGGAAAGGTACACACAAGCTCGGTAAAGTGCAGGCGGGTGGTGTTATTGTGCAGGCGGGTGGTGTTGTTGTAGTCAGCTGTAGTAGGATGCAGTACAATAACAAACAGGTTACAATCCTCGCTCATAATTATGTGGCATAGGAAATACACGACCTTGATTGGGAGGGGGTCGTTAATTAGAATAGAATAAGAACCCGGTCTGAAGAAACCAGGAAGCGAGATAACGTGTCAATGGTACATATTATTTAATTTAGTGAATATGTTGCGTGCAAGGTACTGAGCTGATTGGCAGATGTTTCAGTCAGTGTCACTCCATGTTACCATCTTTTATAACCGAGGAGAAGTAAGGGCTTTTTACAAGATGTAACGATATCATGATGCGAGATGTTAGGGCCATGGTAGCGCAGTTGGTTAGAACGCCTGTCTTACAATCGTTAGATTGCGAGTTCGAATCCCACTGACTGCCTGGTCGTGGGGTGAGCGTCGTCGACGTTCAGCTAAGGATCATGAGTGGTCTATGCAGCCCCCCGGTCTACTCAGCCGAATACTCGAGAAATCGGGTGTGAGGGTTAAATGAGGAGCTGCACATTGCAGCAAAGTCTCGGGCGAAGAAAGTATGGTACACACTACCTTAACCGTCACTGGCCAAAAAGATCCTTCGGCTTCCTGTAATTGGCTGGTTGCACTTGTGTAACAATGTGGCTGTTGGAATACACCGAAGTAAATAATTATGAAAACTTAGGATATGTTCGGGTTTGTTACGATTATCTAGATATGGTTTGTAACGAGATGTTACGATATATTTTTGTTGATAATAATATGTTACGGTATGTTATGGTATGTAACGGTATGTTATGGTATGTAACAGTATGACGTTTGGTTATGAGACAATATTACCATGCCACAAGACGCTCTTTTACAGAGCAAACCTTTTAAACTAAAATCCATCTTGTGGATATTGATTTTCATAATGAGCCAGTTTTCTGAACAGGATGAGTTACAAACATGTCATGCTACAAACAGGATGTGTCACACCCAGGAGATATTGTAAGAAACATACAGTGTTACAATACTTGTTCTATTTGTACTTACAGTGCTGACAGTTAATAAGTTCAGGTCCCCAACACCGGCCGGGATGCTTGCAGTCAGGATGACAGGTGTCTGGAAAAATTGAAAATCTTACTTTGGGTCAAATCAATAACAAAAATAACAAGAAAACCCAAGTAAATATGTTAACAATTAAGGGGGCCGGGGGGGCCGGGGTCTTCATCAAAATTATCTCGAAATCGACTTTATAGTTGTTTCTGATAGAGGGGAGTGATATCTATCAGATGCTTTTGGTCCCATGGAAAAATATTGTTCCTAGCCGAAATTATCGTCGGTATAAGGTCAGCGCTTATGTGTAATTGTATTGCGCGAGCGATTTTCAATCGCAAATTCTGAAAATCGAGTCTAAAAATCTATCTTCTCCCACATTTTTTGAGCAATCACCCCGAAACTTTCAGGATATGTTCTAGGGACCATTTAGAAGAGAATGATCATACACAATTTTGAGATAGGCCTTTAAAGATTTTTATTCAATTTTGAAAATCTTGGACCTCGTTTTTTTACGATTTTTTGAGGTCCAAGATTTTCAAAATTGAATAAAAAATTTTTAAAGGCCTATCTCAAAATTTTGTATTTGCCCCCTTAAGCAGTCAAATTGATAGGGTATCAATTATATCAATAATGTAAAGTCAACTTACAATCCGTCAAGTTAAAATCCGTATTGTTAACAAGAGGAGTAACAGTAGCAGTAGCATTGTCCGACATAATATCATCCCAGAGGATCAGATCGCTGTAACCGGTCAAATTATTGCTGTTATTCTCTATCAAAACATCTCCACTGGAAACTTCTCTGAGGTTGTCAAGCCCTGCACGCCACGTTTCATTAACCAAAGTTACAAACAGTGCATATCTTGGTTTCTTTTGTTTTGGGATAAGGTTCTGTCCTGATATGATATGGAGGTTGGGGAATGGCAGGTATCGCATAGTACAATTTATCACAGCAATGTAACCCGTGATCTTTTTGACACTGCTGAAAAAGTGTAACTTTGTTCCATCAGGATCCTTGATGTTCATTAATATCAAATTGCCGATTATTGTTTCACATCCGGTAAATTTTTCAAGTTCTCTGATTGTCTCATGATGTTGTAGTTCTATTGAGAAAAATGACCTTGACGAGTCATCGTTGGCACTGAAGCAGGCTGAAATGAAAAAGTTTCAACGAATGTTTATAACCTAAATTAAATGCTAGAAAAATAATATCACTTTCTTAAAAAAGGCACTGGAAATTTGATCAATCTAATGACATCTCAACCAATATTAACCACTTACTTGAACCAGTCCTGTCAATGTAATAGACAGATTCACAGAGAGTTACAAGAAGGAGAAATAGAGGGAAGAATATAATTTTAACTGAACAGAAATGCATCTCATTGTTTCATGTCTAGGGTGAGGTTTTAATTTATTGAAAAAAACATAATAAAACAAACATATTAACAATACACATGGCCCAATAAATAAGGGTTCGCAGCAGTGGCGAAACGACTGCCCCCACTACCCCGCTATGCAGGGGAGGGGGGCATCCCCTTAGCTTAGGGGGTCGGCAAATCGTCATTTGAATGTGGGACAATCTTGAAAAACTTAACTAAAGTGCTAACAAAATGCGGGTTTTGCTCTAAAAACACACTTTTTTTAGAATTAAAAAAAAAACTTTATAGCAAAGGGGTGGTCCACAGGTACGTTTCGCCACTGGTTTGCAGTAAATGCAGTGCCACAATTATCAGGGTTTTGCTGTATATTAAATTTCATTTTTTTAAACCGGATGACACAGAGTGTTTTTTTGTAACCACTATAAAAATATACAGGGTGGGCCAAAAGTCAGTACCCATACGTTGGCCTTAATAGCTCCGCCGTGTTTTATATTTGAGAGATGTTGCTTTGCAGATGGCATACTGTACTTACTGGTTCGAGGATTCCGTCGTCAAAATTTGAAAATTCGAATATTTTAGACCACGCCCATTCAATATTAAAACACCTATATTGTTTTCTCTGGACATGCTGAACGCCTAATTTTTTCAGAGACGGTAGATTATCAAATGTTGCATATGATCTGAAAACATGAGGCAAAACGGATTAGAAATGACGAAGTTATCAAGCATTTTCTGTATCTCGTTAACAAAATTGACTGGGTGATTATGTGACACCGTGACACGACACCTTAATTGGGCACCCTTAACAATTCCCATAATGTTTAACGGGGTAGTTAACAGGGTCACCTTATCACGTGATTAGGTAAACCAATCACCTGATCACACGTAATGAATAAACTCGTTATGCTTCATATCTCGGTCATCTGAGAAGCTACAGTTCTAATTCTTTCAGGACAAACGTAATTCGAATGGCCAAACACAATTCAATAACATTTAGCTTGATCTGACTATCCAAACTATCAAATAAATGTGAAAATGAACCTCCATTTGAAAAAAATGAACGCGAATATTTTTCGAGTTGACAAATTCCTCGAACCAGTGTTGGTAGTAAGTCATACCAGAAAGAAGTATTTAAATTGGGCACTCAGTGACTGAGCTATAAAGGCCAACGTATGGGTACTGACTTTTGGCCCACCCTGTATATAAACATAATGATTATTGGAGGTGTGTTCTTATTATCAACCATAGAATAAATATCAGCACTAATGTAAGACTGTGTGTACTTTTCCTCTCACTCATTCAGGATCCGTTTTCTCAATCACAAAGAACTGACTGACGTTGACAGTGAAATAAAAGGGTGCTAATGATGTGGGCTATTGGTCCAGTGAAATGGGAGCTTTTCAAATTTGTAAATAGAACTTTCATTCAGGAATCAGGGGGTTACTGGTTTGAGCTTTGCTAATGCCATCAATCCCTGAAGTTAATGACTTCATTATTCATATGTCAATCCCCCTGGCAACTGAGCTTAATGTTTGCGCATTTAAAAGTACTTAACAAGTTAAGTGTACTGTGCACAATTTCCATTTATGAATGATATCAGACTGTATATGCAAGACACATTTAACCTGGGTTTAAAAAATATCCTATGATTAAGGTAAATGACAATTCCGAGAGCATGCACTTGCACTAAGCTTCACTAGCACATACTTTACCCTTGGGGCAATGTCTGCACTAGGTTATGGGTTCAAGACCGACTTGTGCAGCCATAAAGGCTAGGTTAATGACTTCTATGGTTAATGGTGACTGAGGCTTATACGAGGAGTGAACTGTCAACTAGAATCTTCTTAGGGTTCTCTTCCATAGAGCACTGCAAACAATAATAATATGCTACACTATACTAGTCGAGTGAGCTCCTTTGGTGCAGGAAACGGTACAGAGTCTCAGACTCTCATGTTTGTCCTAAGACTCCGTTGAGATCTGCTATGGATTTGTTTTTGATTGAAATAAATTTTCGTGCACATACAGAATGAATGGTTAATAATTTAATATATATGTAGACCAAGGTCTGTGCACGGGATGCTTCCTGGAAGAATCCAGTTCTTTTAGCGGGGCACCCTACCTAAAGCCAAGTTGAGATATAATAATCATATTCCTAGAGATCAGAAATCGAATACCAATCAAATAATATGATATATAGGAGTAGTAACCATATTTACTATGCAAAATGCCCCAACCACATAGTGTAAATTTATATAGAATTCAAATTCCATATCATCATTAAACCTCAATAGTCAATATAATAGCCCAAGCAAAATTAAATAACTTCTTATATACCTTACTGTCATACTACAAATTAATTAAACATTTGAAATCTGTTAACCAGAGAATAAATTTCTAAACCTAATGAGAGTGAAATAATTTAGATGCAATAATGAATGCCTAATGTGAGTATCATCTGTCAATGTCCTTGTAAAAAAGTCTGTAAAAGAGATATGAGTAACTAATATAGAAGAAAAAACAGGAAGTTGTCGTCTGTTGAAAAATAAATAAAATATCTAGAATATAAATTAGAATATAAAATAACATTCAGTCAATGTGTCGTCAATAAACTGTACAATTATCAAATGTTAAAACTGGGTGATACAGTCACCAAAAATAAATACTAAGTATAATAAGTAAATAAATTAAATGTGGTCTATAAAACTACCACTAGGTATAATAGGTCAATAAATTAAGAGTGGGTCAGATGAGCAAACAGCACTGCACCTACTTTCAAGTTGAGCTTGTGGACACGAATCTAAAATTTCAAGCTAAACGCATCACAACCCTATATAATATGTTTATAAGTGTGTTTGTTAAAATTGTAGAAAGCCAGGAACTAAATCTTTAGCAAAAGATTAATCTTTCGAAAAGATAAGGTTTTACTAATTTTTGTGCTTAGAAAGTGAGATTTATTGTAGCATTTAAGTTTTGCTAACCTTGCTACTATTATGATAAAGGATGAACTACCAAGTATGTTGAGGTGCAGTAGAGCGATATTGGACTATGTTTATTTGACAACAAACACCTTTAATTTAGTAATAACAAGGGAATAAGTTTTCCTATTTAAGCTGTTTAGTTCACAGAAAAGCATATATGGACTGCTTTAAATTTATATTTTAGAAAAATTGTGTTTCAGTAACCATAAAGAACCAGTGACTTTATGTAACTGCATCTTCAACCTCAGTTTCATTTTGAAACGTCAGGTGACTGGTAAAGTCAAATATTTTGTTCTATGAACATTTACTCTAGTATTTTGAAGTGTAGAAATTGTTAAGATTTTTAATTTTAAACTAAGTTATTAATGTTTTATGACGCTTTAGCGGGGTGTAATTTGTTAGGTGGGTATTTAAAATTATTATATTATGTATTAGTCTTTTGGGAATTTAAGTTTTTGATCTTTACTATGTACTATTTATTGTTAATAAAAATGCTCATTGTAGCCAGCAGTTAGCAGCAGTGAGCAACAGTTAGTAGCAGTTAGCAGCAGTGAGCAGTGAGCAATAGTTAGCAGCAGTTTCTTTGCACTATAGTCCTCCTGAGTGTTGTAGCGCGATGCGTTACTGGGCCGTGCCGCGCACTCAATAATGCTTCTCGCAACCACATGCGCTACTGGGCCTCGCCGAGCCTTACTGGGCGGCGCTTTAATTGACGATTTCAATTCATCGCAGTTCGGCGCGGCACAGTATCGCATCTCGCCGATCTAGGACCGGATTGGGGATGTCGCTGTGAGAAGCCTCATTGAGTACACGGCGCGGTACAGTAACGCATCGCGCTACAAGGCGGCGCTCAGCCTGTCATTCCGCCGAATTCTTTATGTTTATGAACATAATAGCCTGGGGTCCCCAGGTAAGCCGAGCTGCGAAGAATTGAAATTTAACTGTCAACAGTCAATTAAATCATGCTGCATGCAACTATTGGATTCACCTAACTGTTAACCATGTGCTTTCGCGCCACTGAGGGCGCGCTTGTTTCACAAGGCAGGCGCGCGCTACTGCAAGCGCAAGAGCTCTGGATAGAGCAAACTATTGGTTACCTGGGGACCTCAGGCTATCATGTTCATTAACGGAATGACAGGCTGAGCGCGGCCCAGTAAACTATTGGACATGCAACATGCAAGAAAATTCTCAACTTCAATTTTATTCCGCTTTCAACTGATAATTGATAATATTAATTCTACAACATTTGTTTGAACCATCATCAACGTGATATCGATATGTAATATTATATGACAATCGACGTGATTTGTTTGACACACGCTGTAACCCCTTTTGAGCTTCGCGTGCACGAGAAGTATACAGCGTGTAGCAATGATTTGTAGCACGATGCGTTACTGTGCCGCGCCGCGCACTCAATTATGCTTCTCGCTAGATTGGTGAGATGCACTACTGTACCTCGCCGATCATCAGCTGCGATGAATTGCCATCGTCAATGCAATTAAGACGTGATATGATAAGTTGAATTGTGACACAATTAACTCTGAACTCGTCGCACATTAATTCGGGCTGAGTGAATTACGACCTCCATCGCTCTGAAAAAAAGTGCGAATGCTCATTGGATGTTAGAGCGCACGTGACTAGCCATTCACGTGATCGTTCAGGACCAGCTAGAGGACGGGTTGAAAAAGTCACGTGACAGTCGCGAGTGTAGACTGTAGAGTGATTAATCATTATCCTTTTATGTAATAAAACAAGCGCATTACCCAGTTTGAACGGCCAAAATGCCCTACTCCATACTCGGCGTCAGTCAGCTGCACCCAGAAACCCTTACTGGATGGGGCCTACTTTCGGTTTTTTGTAACATATTCGTCTTGTAAAAGTAACGTTACCTCCGATCCCCAGGAGGAAAATTTGAGACAACGTATTTATTGAGTTATCTCAACTTTAACTTTGCGGATTCCTGTACTCTGATTGGCTGATCAATTGTGTCACGTGGTAGCTGCTTGAACATTGGAATGCGCCACGCGTGCAAATCATACTTAATGTCGCGCGCGAGGTCGAGCCGTCTGTTTAAATTAAACCATGACCAACTCTAGTACCACCACCAGCCAGTAACTTTTCCTGGGTACGTAATCAGTAATACGCAAAGACCCGTGGATATTATATTATATTATATATATATTAGGCAAATGTATATGATTTACTTAAATCATGCAATTGAAGTTTTTCGAATCTTTTCTTCCAACAGTTTTGAGTTCGCTGCACACAATCTGCAATCGTGATAGGAGTGAAGCGAAAAACTTGTAGGTTTACAACCTACCAGGACGCGCGCCGAGTTGAACTCGTCGACGGTCCGTGAACGACCCCTTATTGATTATTTAAAACAATTAACGGGTAAAACTCGTAAAATATTTGTTTCAAGACCGTCGATCCGATCGTACCAGGAGAAAACTTTGTTGCCATGAAAATTTTGAATATGTTCATTACCAGTAGGACAAATTTTCGAATTATAGCTTTCCGCGACTCAAATTTCACTGTTTTAACTACATTGACATTGACGGATGTTACTCGTCTAAATTTCTTCGAAGTAGCGCGCGCCGGGCCAGACTTGATACATGTTTCGCGCGCGAAAAGTGGCATGCAACGTATGTCAAGGCCAGACCATTAACAATGGTCAACCATTGACCATCTAGCAAGGTCACTGTGGATAGCATAAGCACAAGACACGATTGTGGTACTGGAAGTTCTATTCCCAAATAAAGCTTAGCACTTAGATAAACGGAATATCATCAAAACATAAAATGAGATTTTGGAAGATTTTTGAAGAGAAGCTTTTCTGTCGTCTCCGCGACCCAAATTTCACTGTTTTGTACTATGAATTTTAGCTATATAATTCAAATTTGAGTATCTAATTAAAACATTATTATGATAATGTATAAATCGATCACAATTCCTTACAGTAGCTTACTTACAAACTTCCATGAATATCCATAAAATATTCTGTACAAAAATATGGTTTAATCCAAACTCAACTTGAACTATACTTAGCTATACTACTATATACTATGTTAAACTTGGTCATTTCATCTTATAAATAAGGACCAACAAAAATAAAAATAGACCTCCCAAATATTTTGAAATAAAAATAATTTTCACAGTATGTATTCACAAAAATTTGCTGCAATACTTGTTCCTTCGAGAACCAAGTTAAAAAGATCATACTATACTATCTGAAAACAATAAACAGTTACCAGTTTATAACATAAAGTTTATAATATACAGGTCAGATAGTCCGTTACATTAAAGTGGGTGAGGGGTTGGAATTCCATAGCTCATTACATCTTGATTTGTTGCAAGGGCTTTAAATCTGGAGATACCTGCAAATACGAAAATTTGTTACCTAAATCACAATCAATTTATCGACCATTTAAATTATTTTATAGATTAACAGTCGAATAACTAATGATTAATCACATCTTATAATGAATCTGGAGGAATTGTAGTTATATTCAATAATTATTTTCACAATTATGATGTTTAATTAAGAAACTTAATAACCTCGAATGGGGCAGAGGTTGCTTCTTTTATCGAATCTAACGTCTCTCCTTCTGCTATTTCTTCCAAAACTAGCCCGACGTCTTTAACAACGTTAAATACACACTGAAATTAATAATGATTTTCTCTACACTGCAAGACAATACTGATATTAATCGCCACCCTCATTGTTGAATTACAAATCAGTATTCAAATTCCAGAAATTTCACCACAGTTTCTGAAGAATTTAAAACATTTCGGAGGATAGAAAGGGCGAACTCTCTTACACAGAAAGAAGTTGTACCTTTTCAGTGATGATCTTGTCGACAACTTGAGTCCCTGTGAGGGGCAAAGTGCACTCTGGAAGAATCTTGTGAGATCCACGTGCGGTGTGTTCCATGGTAACTACCACCGTGGTTCCTACGAACAGATCAGAGGTTATCTTCAAACAGCAAACTCTGATCTAACATCAGCTGTCGATAATTCAAGCACACATTCAGAGAAAACATTCTGTCCGATGTTTGCAAAATAGTAACGGAAAGCTCAGGAGTACTAACCTGGAGATCCAACGAGGTCCATAGCTCCACCCATACCCTTCACCATCTTACCAGGTATCATCCAGTTAGCTAGGTCACCGTTAGCGGACACTTGTAGCCCTCCCAACATAGTTAAATCCACATGACCCCTAGGAAGATAAATTCATAAAAAAATCCAGAAATCATACGATAAGGTAGGAAGCATTTTAGGGTTATTGAACAGGAAGCTGTTAGCTAATTACTGCTTCTATGCAAACAACTTTTTGTTTATCTTGGCGGTTACTTCTTCGATAACAAATACTATGGCCTATAACATGTTACAAATGTTTTACTAATCAGTAATCACCCTCTGATCATTCCAAAGGATGTGTCGCTAGAAAATAGACTTGATCCGGGAAGGAGAGTTACGGTCTGTTTTCCAGCGTTTATCAAGTCTGGGTCCTGCTCACCAGCCCTTGGAAATTGTCCCTGAAATAGATTGCAGACTTTAATATTAATTCGACGAGGTAAACACATGTGTATGCCTCGAACACATGGAAGGCGCCTCAATAATTATGCGAGCGCTGCGAAGCATGCAACGACGCGACGCACGTACGGATTTTGTGCATGATCGATCGAATTAATTAAATCCGGCCGTCGCGTACGACGCGACGCGATCCGAGCTAGCTATATATATAGCTTAGCTTAGCTAGGCGCGTTAATTGATGCGCATAAATATTATCCTCAAACTTATTGAAGCGCGTTCCATCGCAAATTTGAGAAGACCTTTTTTCGAGGCGTGTTTTCTATTTATATATTTGGATGTTTAACTGGATGTTAAGAGGGTCTAGAGGGGCATCATTTAGATAAAGAATAATGAATAATCCAGCATAGATGATATTCAATTCAATTCTTTCCAATCGAAAGTAAGTAGGTAAGTACATTTTTAGTCCGAAGGACTGTTTGTTTGTCTCCGGATGATATTATTTGTAATGTATGAACTGTAACCCTATTTTCTTCATGATACATTCATTTAGTAAAACTTTAATCACTATTTCCATAATTTTAGCTCTTATTCTCATTTGCCATGGGATGATCGATGATGTCCCTAAAATTAGGTACGCTGTACTAAACACGAAGCAAATGAACTAACCAGTCCAAGAATTCCATTTTCACTTTGCAATGTTACAGTTATGCCAGAGATGTAATTAGCTGCCATCATTGGAATACCAATACCTGAAAATGGGAATAGTTTGAAAGACACTCAAACTCAACCGAAAGTAATAAATTGGTAATGTTTTCAGCAATGAGAAAGATTAAAATCATATCAGTGCTACAGGAAGTATAATTTGATGCACTATTGCAAGGTTCGAACGTACCAAGGTTAGCAAACATTCCATCACTGAATTCCAGAGCGGCTCTTCTTATGATCCTATCTTTGGGGGAGTCGGAGAGTTTCTTTCCAGGGTCCTCGGCTAACAGGGTAACTTTCTGTGGAGTGAAAATATTGACACTTCTTATTTGCTTCTAAGTTATTACATGATAATAGAGTAAAATAGCAAAATCATCATCTATGCTATGGAGTAATTCATGATAATAGACTGAAATAGCAAAATCATCATCTCGAATTGCTATGGAGTAATTCAACTTTTCTACAATCTATGTCACATTTGGTGACGTCATAAAACAAAACTCTTATGTCTGAGTCCAAGAAAACACCATTCAAATACAAACCTCAATTCGTTTCTGATGTCCAGAACGCTGGATTATTCTGTCTACAAAGATACAAGGGACGTGTACATCTTCTGGAGGGATTGATCCCAGTGGTACAATCTCTTCTACCTGAGGAGAAATAATTATCGTAAATATTAATTTATAGCCAATTAGAAATGCCTGGTTATCAATTAATTGAAGGTAGTAAAGGTCCGACTGATAATATCGCAGAGTTTCTAGTTTAATTCTTATTTATCTCGGTTAGCCAACCTGATTCTTTGTGAAATTATGATTTATACTTTGTGACATGATTCGTTCGTAATAATCATAATCATATTTTCATTAATATATTATATTTCATATTTTCATTAAACAGATATATCCGAAAGAAACAAAACTATGAGTTTACGAGATATTAAATTTAAATAATCACAGCAGAATCTAATGAATTTAAAGAACAAATGTGAATCGCAGTAACAAACATAAGATTCACATGCAAAATCTATCACATCGTATAATGTAATTTTGAAATCACCTGACAAAAGCTAACATAACATATTATAATTTAATTTCAAGATCATTTTTCTTGGCGGCTACATTTCTGCTAAAAATAGATTACATATCTACAGTAAATTACAGTGTCTGTATAAGCAGCCAGATAGGCTGCAGAACCCAGATTTTACAAGACAGCCTGAAAAGTGCCATCACCAGCAACCGACAAATAGTACATCTGTGTGGTTGAGTTTGTATCGCTGTTACCACATTGTTCTGAAATCATCTCCTCCACCATGTTTTCATCCTGTCTAGTATCAGAAGTGTACTGCTGATCATTTGAGCTAGGTTGAGTGACAGGACTACTAGAAACATGGGTAGGAGAGAGATGATGTACGTGTAGATCACGAGGTTGTTCACCCACTCTAAGACGGGACAGGTTACCTGGTGTTTCTTCTGAATTATTTCCTGTAGTCCTGTAAATGTGGGAGCAATACACAGCAATCAGCACAAGACCTAGACCGACAGCAGCCAATATCATCAGAAGTAAGAGAAGTTGGCTCATTTTAGTAGAAGAGTTGAATGGGTTCATTGAGACGCACACAATTTGAAACCAAGAAACATTTCACACAGGTAGATAGTAGATAGTAGTCCTGGAGAAGTGGGATGTAACAAGTGCCCAGATCATTGCCAAATCACGCTGAGGAACTCATTAAATTCTAAATTGGGCTCACAGTTGAACAGAATGGAAAAAGGAGGAGCAGTTTAATTGAACACACCAAGAATCAGCTCACGTTACTATGACCAGGTGACCTGGTGACCAGGTGATAGTTAAGTAGAAATGTTAAACTAGTGAAACTGATAATCAAAACAGAGATGTTAAAATGAACTCTCTCTAGCAATCTCTGATCAATTCCCAAACTATACTCCTTGTAGCCAAAACAGAGGTGTTACAATTAACCCTCTGATAATCAAAACAGAGATGTTAAAGTCCGTCACAGTCACGTCCGTCGCAATTTGAAAATGGCGTCACGCAAACAAAAATTGAGAAAATCTCCAAGAAAAAGGCATCTCAGAAATCCCTAAACCTTCTTCTATCATTGCAATTCTAAATTAGAGACAATAGATAACTTTTTGAGATAGATTTGGGCACCATCTGAGTAGACACCCAAAAAATGGTCATATTTATGTCACAGGGGTCAGGGGTGCTATCTCAGAAGGTAATAATCCAGTAGGGGTCTGAAATTTTCACACAACCTGTAGAAAGGTTAAATGTGGACTAATAAACAGTTGGAGCTGATAAATAAGGCAACATCCCGAGTACAACATTCGTTTGAACTTTTAAAAATAGCAAAATCGTGGTGTCCGTTACGGTGGAATTGCCCAATAAACTCAAGCCCAGCAACTCTAGTTCGAATTAGAATCTACTTGAAAACGGTTATTATAGATCTGATGGAGACAAAATTTGAAAAAGAATCTTACAAATTATATTGATAGTAACCCAAATTCTGATCTACTGTCACTGATTGATAACTTATTTCAAGTTTATATCTTAGCAAATCTCATTGCAAAGGTTTAAAAATCAATATAATATACAGATTGATAATAATGATAAAAGTTTCAGGGTTTTCACCCAAAAAGATCTTTATACGAAGGAGGGCTGAAAGCAGCAATTGGTCCGGTGGAGAGCTGGTTTGTGTGTACTGAAGGCTGGTCTAGTGAAGGCTGGTCCAATGTCCCACTGATAGCTGGCACACTGTGCACACTGCTAATTGGTGTGGAGACTGGTAGGAAAGAACCATCTTCATCCCTATAATAAAGCTGTGCAGTAGAATGTTGTGCTGGGTCGGGATAGTGCTGGGAAGCACTTGCTTCCTGAGGAGGACTCACATGAGGTCTGTTCGAGCTGCCGAAACCATTTTGAAGCCGAACAGTATGGCTGCTTGTTTCATCACCTGGTATAGCGAAGGGGCTAGAAGGAACATGAGAGGAGGGGCTAGAAGGAACATAAGGACTCTCTGGAGGTATTTGTCTGGAATCGAGATTGGTATTAGAAATATTTGCGTAAACATTGGTACCAGAACCACTGGCAATCTCCACTGGAGAATGTGTGTAACGATCAGTGTTAGCGTTCAGTCGAGCTGGTACTGGATCCCTGATATTTTTCCAAGATCTAATAATATGGGCGCAAACTTTGATGATGAGGAAAACTGTGATTCCAACACCAAGAACTAGTATCGCCAGAAAGCCAGAAGAAGTGTTCATTCTGAGATGGAGTACAGATTACTGAGAGTCAGAGTTTTGTCTAGTCTTTAACTATTATAAATTTGGTACTAAAAGATTCGTCTTCTCAAGCGGATTACGATTCTGTAAAAATTATTTCAAAAAAACTGATACTTTTTTGAGTTATAAGCATTTTAAGCCTTAAATCTGCCATGTTTGGCCCTTTTTACGATGAATTTTACGAAGTCGTTTGAGGCCACATTTCATACCTTTAACTCAAAATTGAGAGAAATCCTGTTCCAAAAAGTTGGATATGATCATCAGCTACACTCACAAGAATTTTTGAAGCGATATCTTATGACCTGGATGAATGGTAAAATATACAACTCTGATTTTTACAAAAATTTCAATTTTGCTTCTCTCGACCTTGTTTGGTCTGTAACTTCGTCATCTATATTTTAATTATAAAATCCTTTGAAGGGATTCTTGTACGCAGTGTAAGTAATGTTCAGTAAAAAAAATCAGCCATAAAACTTTTAAAATGGCCGAACTATCGGTATTACAGTGTCAGACTTCTCCAAATTTTAAAAATTTTTTGAAAAAGAAAAATATATTTTTTCTCGATGAGGGACTATTTTTAGAAAATTTTGAAGGTTTGCAATCTTATTCTTTTTGTCTATTTAACCATGATATGAAATAAAATCGATACATGTGGACAAATAAACAGTTTAAGCTGATAAATAAGCAACATCTCGAGTACAACATTCGTTTGAACTTTTAAAAATAGCAAAATCGTGGTGTCAGTCACGGTGGAATTGCCCAATAAACTCAAGCCCAGCAACTCTAGTTCGAATTAGAATCTACTTGAAAACGGTTATTATAGATCTGATGGAGACAAAATTTGAAAAAGAATCTTACAAATTATATTGATAGTAACCCAAATTCTGATCTACTGTCACTGATTGATAACTTATTTCAAGTTTATATCTTAGCAAATCTCATTGCAAAGGTTTAAAAATCAATATAATATACAGATTGATAATAATGATAAAAGTTTCAGGGTTTTCACCCAAAAAGATCTTTATACGAAGGAGGGCTGAAAGCAGCAATTGGTCCGGTGGAGAGCTGGTTTGTGTGTACTGAAGGCTGGTCTAGTGAAGGCTGGTCCAATGTCCCACTGATAGCTGGCACACTGTGCACACTGCTAATTGGTGTGGAGACTGGTAGGAAAGAACCATCTTCATCCCTATAATAAAGCTGTGCAGTAGAATGTTGTGCTGGGTCGGGATAGTGCTGGGAAGCACTTGCTTCCTGAGGAGGACTCACATGAGGTCTGTTCGAGCTGCCGAAACCATTTTGAAGCCGAACAGTATGGCTGCTTGTTTCATCACCTGGTATAGCGGAGGGGCTAGAAGGAACATGAGAGGAGGGGCTAGAAGGAACATAAGAACTCTCTGGAGGTATTTGTCTGGAATCGAGATTGGTATTAGAAATATTTGCGTAAACATTGGTACCAGAACCACTGGCAATCTCCACTGGAGAATGTGTGTAACGATCAGTGTTAGCGTTCAGTCGAGCTGGTACTGGATCCCTGATATTTTTCCAAGATCTAAAAATAAGGGCGCAAACTTTGATGATGAGGAAAACTATGATTCCAACACCAGGAATTAGTATCGCCAGAAGAAGGGTTGTGTTCATTCTGAGATGGAGTACAGATTACTGAGAGTCAGAGTGTTTGCGACTTATTTACGAAATTACGCAATCACACATATGAAATGCAGCATAACTTCAGTGAGCAACAAAGAAGGAATCAAGATAGGACCAGTCTGAGAAATACCACGCAAAGGAACTGAAAATGGCTCAGAATGTGACTGAGAACGTGAGGTGTGAGTGAGAATGTGAGGATCATGTTATTAGTGTGTAATACATCACTAGTTATCATGTTTCATTTAACCAGCCCGACCACCTGGCGTGCGTTTACAAAACTTGGAACTTTTCAAAAAGAAGGAATATGAAATGGAAAATGTGTTTTAGATTAACCGCGGGGTAAAGTAACGGGATGGGAGGCAACGTAAGACTATGTAACGAAGATAGGATCTCTTTTTATTTATCAGTTACTCCAGTGTGATATGTAAGAACAGAAGGTATCACATTTCCAGTGATTTAGTTTCCCCAGTGAAACCATCACCTGCTACACAGACGGGTCACGCACAGACTCAGGTAGCGGGGCTGGTTATATTATCACCACAGACAACAACAACACTACACTAGATGAAAGATCATTCAAGCTTCCTGATTATTGCACCGTTTATCAAACAGAACTCACTGCCATCATCGAAGCTTGTAAATATCTATCAACTTACACAAACACACATATCATCATATGGTCAGACAGTCTCTCCTCTATTCAAGCTATATCCTCACCTTCAACGAGGAGTAGAACTACTAGAGACTGCTACGACACCCTCAATACACTCGGATCCACTAACACCTTAGAGATCAGATGGATAGCAGCACACATCGGATTGTGGGGTAATGAAAAAGCAGACGAGCTGGCCAAAAATGGCACAACCAGTGAATCCACTTTGAATTGCCCAATTCCACAATCTTACATCAAACGCCTGATCAACGACAAAGTCACAAAACTTAATCAAGAATCATGGATTACTAATGGTCCCAGACACACTAAACTGACACTTGGACATAAAAACATCAACATCATCAAAAATCTCAACACTACACTCAGTAACAACAGACAAAATTACAGAACTGCAGTGCACCTCATCACGGGACATTGTGGCCTCAACAAACACCTACACACCATTCACAAATCAGACACAAGTGCTTGTCCTAAATGCGGCGACGGAGAGGAGACTGTCTCACACTTTCTCGGACAGTGCCCGGCTATTGCCCAAATAAGAGGTCAATATTTCCGGGACTACTACCTCTCTGTCAATGACATATTCGACAACCAACACATCTCCACCATTGTCAACTTTACAAACCACACTAAACGCTTAGTGGTGCCGGAGGAGTTGGACCAGACAGGTGTAACATAGCGACTACTTTAACGCCGTCTTGTTTCGCCCCTCTCTTCCACACTCAACCACCACCTAACCGTTTATCTATAACACACCCCACAACACTTACCATCATCCGTGATTACACATCTTGATTCCGCTGGCATCCTCCCACAGGACTGCCATACCCCAGAGGTAGGCAAAGCATCCATATGCTATCCTCTCGTGGGCCAACCAGGCCCAGCCTCTCTTTAAAAAAAAAAAAAAAAAAAAAAAAAACAGGTTAAGGGGGGATGCCCATTTGACAAAAATTTTAGGAATAAGTGGGCATGAGGTGGCCCCCCCCCCCCCCCGGCCCCTCAGTTACTGCCTACTGGCTTTGCCACCTGGTCGGTACTGTCCTGTCAGTGAAATTAATAGAGCTGGGTCTCCCAGCGGAGAACGTTAAATCACGTGTCTTGTAATCTATGATCACGTGACTTTTAACTTTTAGGTCACTTTCGCTATCAATTTTGATTGTTCTGGAGTTATCAACAGATATTGAACCTTATCTTTAATATATAACTAGAAATGAGATTTTTGTATTGTTATTCAATATCTTGAAATTTTTTTAGTACACGAAGTTTAAGTATAGTTATATTGTAGATATGATAAGAAGCAAATTATAAAACATGAATGCACATATCACTACTTTTTGGTGCAAGACCAAAAAAGGTATTCAGTTATCAGTAACTCATAAATTTAGCGGCTGATAACAAACATCAAACTATCATGATAAAATGGATCTAATTGTACGCCTTTTACTGTACCTATCACCTTTGTTCTTCTTTTTGTTGTAAATATTTTGATTGCAGGCTCCAGTTATGTGATATAGATTACTGTAAAATCACTATACAGTTACATTATAATAGTTAATTAACAATCCTATCAATAATCTCACCTCAACGATAGTAATTTTGCCAGCAGAGGCCATTGGTTGGTTGAAATTGTTAGCAGTTAGTCTGAAAGTAAGGTTCCCTGCCTCGTCCGCTTTGTGTGCTTTTATCAGAGAAAAATCCCCCGTTATAGCTTCCTCCATGATGTAGTTCCTCCCGTTAAATACACGGTCCTAGGAATTTAGTGACGTCATCACAACATTATGCGAAGTTTTGATATTCGTTCCGTGAAAAATAAGGCTGTAGATCAGCTAAGGAATTTCGAGTTTACAAAGATAATTATTTCAATTTGTTGCTTTAATGGTGTCCTGCTTCTGAGAAGTTACTGCCACTAACTCACTGAGTCACTGTTCTATCTTATCAAGTTAGTTCCCGTTAAATACATACAACTATGATAGGCACACACTTTTGCTGTCTGCCATAATTTACAGTTTACACGTTTTAATGAATAGAGCTATGTGGGCCAAGTATGTAAATAAACAGATTATATTGTTGTAATAACTTATTGTCAGTTTTGGACTAATGGACTTAGAAACAGATGAAAGTTACGAATACTATCTCTATTTAGAATATGTTTACCTGTTCTGTGTTCAAACGTAGAAACATTGATGTCACAAAACATGCTCATTAATGATTAAGTCAGAATACACAACAAAACAGTTCAAACTTATTTGTTAACTTATTTTAATTTATTTGTTAACTTACTTTAACTTATTTGTTAACTTACTTATTTGTTTATTTAACAAATAAGTTAATTAACATAATTCACCTCTCTGGGTTCAGAAGTAATCTGTACAGTTCCATCACTATTATACTTGATAGGGCTGCCTCCCTTGTGTATCAGAGTGCCGTATCCTGTAGGTGTAAAGAATGCTGGTACTCCTGCACCACCTGCTCTAATACGCTCTGCTAGTGTTCCCTGGTGGATTATTTTATTTAAATTCAAAACTATTTTAATTTATTTAAATTCAAAACTACATGACATGTTCTACAATTACATTTACACAAGACCAAGATATCTACAATGAAGCAACAGCATGATTTCTCAAGATTAGGGAAATATTAATGAAACTCAACACTACCAGATTGCAGCTGGAGTGAGAAAAATGTACGTAAAACATTATTAAAATATATTTCGACTGAACCAAAATACGGCGGTAAAACCATAATCATGATAATAGATAATGACGTTGGTGCCGACCGAATACATAAAATACAGAATTGAAATTAGTAATGTGCTAATTAGTTAATTGCGGTAATACCGTTATTTGTGCATTAATTCCTCGATTCAAATTTGAATAGTTCATAGTTGGTTATGATAATAAACTTAATGCAGGTCTATCAGTGATTATTATCGTTAATTAACTCTTATAATTATAAAGGGTATTAATTATTTTAATTACCTGAGGTGTGAGCTCCACCTCTAGCTCCCCAGTAAGGAACTGTCGCTCAAACTCAGCGTTCTCTCCCACGTAACTACTAATCATCCGCTTTACCTGCTTGTTCTGCAGTAACAAACCCAGACCGAAATCATCAACTCCTGCCAAAGGTTATTACGATTTCTCGTATAATTGTAACTTGAAAGACGTTCATACTTTGGAAATGGAGAATTGTTACTGTATGATTTAACGTTTTACAGAAGTAGTATATATATACGTCTGCTAAAGAGTCTTAGTCTCACATTATAGCATCACAATTTGGAAATTGACTGCGACGAATAGGTAAAAAGAAACATCATAATATCAAATCCTTTAAAATTTGGAACAAATTCAAAGATCAAGGAGTTACCTGCATTGTTGGATACACATGTGAGATCTTTTACACCTTTATTTTGTAACCCGTCTATCAGATATTCTGGTATTCCACACAATCCAAACCCTGTGACAGATTAAAGTTAATTCAATGAAATAATAAGTTTTATTTTACATTCCTTTAATTATAAATAAAATAAGAGCTTAATCCACGAGTAATAATTGATCGAAAGATGTTTCTCGTAAATAGTGATAGCTGTAAGCTGCTATATTATTTTAGATCCATCGTATTTTATTTCTGAGTAATATTTGGCTAAATAATGACTTGTTTGCAAGTTTTCGGTCATTACAATTAATAGCTTGTACACGAGGTAGAATGTCGAGCATGGTGAAGTGGCTAGCCACGACTAAGAAACCTATGAAATGGGAGATGACTCCGACGCAGTGCTATTCTAATCTACCAACTAGTACGCCTAAAATAATGTACCCTACCCCTCTAGGTAAGGTAGTGTTTTACTTTTGTTAATAGTTTTACTTTTGTTCATATATAGTTAGTATTTCACTCGTATCAGTATCTCATTTTCATCTATATGTCGTTTATATCTGGATCCAAATTCAAGTTCTTAAAACATATCTATTTCAGTTTACTGTAACCTAAGTCGAAATGTCCGAGAGCACATGGAAGAAACAGACTTCACAGCACTGACACGAGACACAGCAGATACATTATATCACACAGCACTGACACGAGACACAGCAGAAAGGTCAGTTGACTCGGCAGAAAGGTCACCTGACTTGGCCAATAGATCACATGAACAGGATGAAAGCCCAAGGCCTATTTTCAACACTCCTTGGTCAGCAGCTACACGGTCAGACATCACAATTCACAACCGCAGTCTTCAAAAATATCACGTCACTTATATTCCAACGTTGATCCCCAATCGCACTCTTTAAAATTTACAACGATACAATTCTAAACCGCAGAGGTTTATGTGATAAGTAAGTACTCCCGTGCCGTACTTAAAGTATTACACAAAAAGTGTCTCCTCCCAGGATAAACGAGAAGAAAAGGAGACCAGAAATTCGAAGAAGATCAACAGTTACTTTCAACGATAAGACTGTGTACCACGAGTACAAAACTAGAGCTAGAACTCCAAGTCAGGAGGTAGGGGGTAGGACAGGGAGGGAGACGAAGAGGGAGACAAGAAGAGAGGTGAGGAAAGAAAACAGAGCTGTCGCTGCTTACGGAGGAAAGGGTGAACATCCAGGTAGGTGCCTGAAGTAAGGACTCCCTTTAATAAAGAATGTTCAGACACTAGTGAGGAGTAAGTACTTGTAAGTACTTGTGGAATGCACACCGGAATAGCTAGATATATTTTATGGGGCAAGTAAGCACGGTTCACAATGCTGATTCACATTATAGCCCTGTAGATGAGCTGTTTTCAGGTGTGATAACGACAGTGGTGGAGATGACGGGGGAGGAGATAAAGTGTGAAGATTGTTATGTGGTCATATCATCCTACTCTTCTCTTAAACAGGGTAATGGTTTTTAACTGTAAATATTTCTAACTTGTAGTGTATTTCAATTTTACGATGCAATATATTTCACAGAACATAATTGCACCATGCTACTTCAATATCTGAAAATAACACAACTTCTACAGCTGAAAGAATTGAATCTTACAATATATACTCAGTTCTGAAACAAACGTTGTAACGGCTGAAAAGCTGAAACTAACTCCCACAATTCTATATCCCCAGGAAGATGGGGACTAACCCCAGTTTCAGTAGTACAATCTCTAACACATCGTGATGTCTGCAGAACCCACACCCTCATGTTGTTCAGAGAAATGGACGTCCTCTCACTTCTCAGACATCCTTATATAGTCCAGTTGCTGGGTAAGTTATTTGGTGACGTCACATGGTTTGGTGACGTCACATAGTTTTAAGCAACATTACAGAAGGATATTAATTATCCCATTATACGAGGATCTCCTTCCATAAAAGAAAGCATCAAGAATTGAACTAAAACTAAAATCTCAGATGAAATCTAACAAATGTAATAACAGTTTCCTTCATCTTCAGGAGTCTGCTCAGGGCCCCAAACACGTGATGTACTGATGGTACTAGAACCATTTCCCAGAGGTACACTGTACTCAACACTACACAAACAAGGGATAAAACTCAGCAAGAGAGAGATAGTGGATGTCATCAATAACATCTGCTGTGCACTAGACTACGTTCACAAGAACGGATACATTCATAACGGGTGGGCAAACTTTGGGGTCAAAACTCTTTTTATTTTAGATCGGGCCAGGTCTGGTTCACGGAACATAGGAAATTGTGAAAGATGATAACCTGGATGACTGGTCTATTATAATACCTATAATGGAACGTGGCACTGAATATATGAACTGCTGACCTTGTTTATCTAAACTTTTAATCATGGGCCAACAGAATTATTAAACATCATTGTCACATCATCTCTCTAGAGGATTCAAGGGTTTAACAGACTTATCATATTACAGGGTCAGCAGTCAATCCATATTACAGGGTCAGCAGTCACTCCATATTCTTGGGAAAAGAGGCAAAACTTGGTAACATGGGCTACGTTCAACCAGTCCTAAATAATATGACGTTTAATACTGGTCACTTCTGGCAGTGGAATGATGTATGGATCAATGAGGTTGGTTGTAGGATTTGTTATAATCTTCTCAATTTCTCATAGAAACACAAAAGTAAAGCAGATTATTCTGAGTTACAATCGAGAACATGGTAGACACAAAAAAGCTAGGGATACAAATGGTTCTGCATAGTATTTTAAAGGAACAGTAATTATGAAATTTTAAAATGATCATCCACCCGAGAAACCTGATAGTACACAGTTTTCAATCAACTTCAGGGGGTGTAACGAGCAGTAACGAATAATTTTTCCTGTAAGAAATTCTTCTATTTTACCCCTCCACTCCCCTCCCCCCACCCCATAACTCTACCCCTCCCCCCACTCCTAACAGTTGGACAGTACCTAACAACATCCCCTCTCTTACAGGAGGAAGTAAGTACAGTGAGTGACGTGTACAGTTTGGGGTGTGTTATGTGGGAATGTCTCACTGGGAAAGTTCCTTGGTCTGGTCTCTCCCGAGAGAACGTCATACTGCATGTCTGCAAGGTAATAGTACCCTGTAGTACACGGTATATTATAGTTTACTGTCAAGTAATAAGTTGATGTCTGCAAGGTAGTAGTACCCTGTAGTACACGGGATTTTATGGTTTACTGTCAAGTAATACTTCATGTCTGCAAGGTAGTAGTACCCTGTAGTACACGGTATTTTATGGTTTACTGTCAAGTAATACTGCATGTCTGCAAGGTAGTAGTACCCTGTAGTACACGGTATTTTATAGTTTTCTGTCAAGTAATACTGCATGTCTGCAAGGTAATAGTACCCTGCAGTACACGGTATTTTATAGTTTACTGTCAAGTAATACTGCATGTCTGCAAGGTAATAGTACCCTGCAGTACACGGTATTTTATAGTTTACTGTCAAGTAATACTGCATGTCTGTAAGGTAATAGTACCCTGTAGTACACGGTATATTATAGTTTACTGTCAAGTAATACTGCATGTCTGCAAGGTAGTAGTACCCTGTAGTACACGGTATATTATAGTTTACTGTCAAGTAATACATCATGTCTGCAAGGTGATAGTACCCTGTAGTACACGGTATTTTATAGTTTACTGTTAAGTAATACTTCATGTCTGCAAGGTAGTAGTACCCTGTAGTACACGGTATTTTATAGTTTACTGTCAAGTAATACTTCATGTCTGCAAGGTAATAGTACCCTGTAGTACACGGTATTTTATAGTTTACTGTCAAGTAATACTTCATGTCTGCAAGGTAGTAGTACCCTGTAGTACACGGTATTTTATAGTTTACTGTCAAGTAATACTTCATGTCTGCAAGGTAATAGTACCCTGCAGTACACGGTATTTTATAGTTTACTGTCAAGTAATACTTCATGTCTGCAAGGTAATAGTACCCTGTAGTACACGGTATTTTATAGTTTACTGTCAAGTAATACTTCATGTCTGCAAGGTAGTAGTACCCTGTAGTACACGGTATTTTATAGTTTACTGTCAAGTAATACTTCATGTCTGCAAGGTAATAGTACCCTGTAGTACACGGTATTTTATAGTTTACTGTCAAGTAATACTTCATGTCTGCAAGGTAATAGTACCCTGTAGTACACGGTATTTTATAGTTTACTGTCAAGTAATACTTCATGTCTGCAAGGTAGTAGTACCCTGTAGTACACGGTATTTTATAGTTTACTGTCAAGTAATTTAATTAAGTTAGAGATGATCCTGATAATCTGATGTTTCTATTGTGTTAATAAACTGGGCTGAAGTCCTGGAAATTTTGGTGCTTATTCCGACCCTAATGTATGTACATATTTTTCACATGACGTGATGATTGTTTCCTCCCACTTTCTTGATCGAGAAATTATGAAATCTTTGAGCACTGTTTAAAACACAAACTGTAAAGATAAGCTGACTGTAAGAAACTGAAGCTGATTGCCTTAAATTCAACAGGGTAAAAAGCTGAGGAGACCAAAAGGAGACAGCACCCTTGCCAGCATCACGATGCAGATTCTCGGCAAAAAGATAGTGTCACTACAAAAGATCGTGGAGCAGCTGGAATGTGCCATCAGGAAATGATGTTTGTGATTATGGAGTGAACTTAATTTATTAATTTATAAATATGTTTTTCTTTGTTTTGTTCTGTATCTAAAGAATTTGGAGAGAGCTAACTCTTTTTGTTCGTTTTTGGTTTTAAGTTCATTTGAACTTTAATTGAGGTTGACCTTTCATAATGATATTCATCATGTAAAATAAAAGGAAAGTAAATTGGAGTGATTTAATAAACAAGATATCACATTTTTCAGTTTGCTGTATTTATAAGCGTTTTCAAATTGAATGTTATTTTCATTTAGTTCTCACTAGTCATTTGCGTTGTTTCAATTGTCTGTCGAGAGCCGTTATGCTCCCTACTAAACACTACGAGTCAATCTCTCTGAGTCTGACTCTACCGTCATTAAGGCCACAGGGGGGGGTCGAGGCTTCAAAAAATGCAAAAAAACATTATGCTTTGAATCAATATATATTTTTGTGGTGGATACTTTGCCACCACTCATTTGTCTGTAGCTATTTTACTTTTTTTTATAAATGAGGTTAACCAATTCTTCAAATAACCTCATTTTTTTTGATAAATCGATAATGGAGGGCAGAAATATTGATGCCATTACAACTGAAAACTATAATAAGCTTTGTTTTTATTGTTTTTGTGTTATTTCAGCAGTTAAACTTTGAAAAATATACGAATAAAGGCAAAATACTCCAAAATCACATAACATAAAAAACAGTTTTTTGCCTCTCCTGAAAACCTCGAATTTTTGACTTCAAAATCTATCTTCTCCTAGAGTTTTTATCCATTTCACCTCAAATTTGGAACTTATGTTCCTGACATAAATTTAAAAGTTTGTTATGTAACGATTGTTGTAATTTTGCTCCTAACTCTTTTTATGAGGTTAACCATTTTAAATTTTGTAACCCGCACTCATGGTTAACCTCATATCTCAGCTTTGGAGCAAGATATTATAAATCGTTACATAACAAAAACTCAAAATACCTTGAAGAACATTGTTGCCAAGTTTCAAGGTTCTAAGTCATAAACTGAAAAAGAAGATAGATTTTGAACACGATTTCATTTAAAGTTTTCATTTACAATAGAATTACAGGTAAACCTCAAAATTCAACGCGCGATATCTTCAAATAGGAAACTTTGTTTTCGGTAAGGACAAAAGCATTTGAAAATTTAGATCGAGCTCTACAACATATCTCAAAATCTCAAAATCGACCTCGGACCCCCCCCTGTGGCCTTAAAGCAGCAAGTGGGCAGGAGATAGAGCAAGTAGATGACTTTGTCTACCTTGGAAGCAGAATAATGAGTGCGGAGAAGGACTTTGATGTTAGGAAAGCAAAGGCATGGGGGGCCTGTCATCAGTTAAAGACAACCTGGAAGTCTGAAATGCGCAGGGACTTAAAGATCCGTGTCTTTCGAGCAACGGTTGAGCCCGTACTCCTGTACGGCTCTGAAGCTTGGACGATAAGCCAATCCATGACTAAGCGGATCAATGGATGCTACACTAGAATGCTCCGGATGGCCTTGAACATACGTTGGCCACAAATCATCAACAACAGTGATTTATACGGCAACATCCCCAAGCCATCAGCGATGATAGCCTCCAGAAGAATGAGACTGGCTGGACATGTAGCCAGGCATGACGACCTTCTGGCAAACCAACTTCTGTTCTGGGACCCTCAGCATGGATACAGGAGACCGGGGAGGCCCCACCTTACGTTTCTGGACATGCTAAAGAAGGACACCAGCCTTTCCTGTGTTGAAGAGATAAGATCTGTTATGCTTGACCGCGACGTGTGGCGAGGAATTGTAGTTGCTCGGACCAAGAAGCCGACTTAAGTCAGTAAGTCAGTAAACACTACAAAATGTTGACTAAACAATGATTGTCACCTCCCACGAGAAGCTTGTCTCCATCCTTAATGTCTCTGATAGCTTCGTCTACAGTATCGCAAAATTCAGCATGGCATGCTCCAGTCGTTGAAATTAGTCTCTGAAATGTAAACGGTCAGATAGTGTGGCTTGTTTTACATAACTCTGATGGAAGGGGTTTTCTAATCTATTTGGGTGACTTTGTGTTACTGATCCCTAAGTTTTTCAGCATCGTTACCTAGAGCTGCAGTATCAACATCATCGAGAAGTCGCTATGATTAGTAACTTTTGGCAGTATTTTGTTGCCATTCTTAGACTGATACCCATACGAATCTAAGATTTTTCCATCATTCAGAAATGAAGTAGCCTTATCATGAGTAATGAGTATCAGCATAATTAGGGAAGCCATTTGATACTTTCTTATTGTTTTCATTACATCTGAGAAATACTACTTGACTACTTCTTAATTTATCAGTAGAAAATTTGAGGGACTGCTCAGTTTTGACCTCAAGAAGTTCCTCTTGCAGCTTTCGATTGGATGAGAAAACTTTTTAACTCCTCAACGTCTTTCATCAAACTTGTCAGCAGTTTTTCTGACAAAGAGGTTCATCTGATTGTACAAATTGAATACCAACTTTGACATAACTATTTTATTTGGCTTTTCGAATATTTTAGCTGAAAACTCTGTTTGATCTTAACAGTTCACGGCTCCTGCAAGTTCCAAGATCCAATTATTAAAGTCCAGATGCGCTTCAGTAAAAAATGTCGAGAAAGCTGACAATCGTTGAAATACATCTAAGTCTTCCATCATGTACTTGTACTTGTATTAAGTTGAAAGGCACTGTACAGTTAAAATGTGGCGATAAAAGAAGGATAGGAGAGCTCGGATAATTGGTGCGTAACAAAATGTAACAATTCAGCATATTATTGTATGTATTCAATGTATAAGATATGATTGTTTAAGTATTTCGAAGAAAAAACCGTCTGCAACTTTCTTATCTACACTATGTTCTCACCTTAAAAGAGTGCTTCTTTAGTTGTCTGCTTAAAATACTTCGAATCATCCTGATGGGTATAGTCAAATTAACGGACGAGTTTGAGAAGCACTTTAAACTATTCAAACAATCTGAATTTAAGCAAAAATTGCGCTTGTCAAATAAAAGCAAAGTGATGTTTGTTACAAAAATATGCATCTTGATTTTCAATACTTCTACTGGTGATTTACAGTGACGTAACGTTGCCGTTGAATGATATTAGCAGGTTATTATTCCTTATCACATTTGGCCAGTAGAACTGCCATTACTAAATAAACTTAAGGTAAATATAACTGAACTCTATAATAAAATCTCCTAAAAAAGTGTTATATGATATCCTGGTTATATTAATCAAATCACAAAATATGCCTCCCACTGGAATTCATGTCTTTGATTCATGTATATTTATCCAATATTTCAAGGGGGAACATGTGCCGACTGTTCGTTCAATTAAAGTTCTCGTCTGATAAGAAGACTGATAAAATAACAGGTGAGATTTAAAATATGAAAATTTCAACGGACACTAAGTTAAAAGTAAAACAGAATACATTACAAATTCTTTTTGGGGCAGGAACCGAGAGTGCCTATTTTCCCACGGTTTTTCGACTGTTGTCACTTATTGTCAAACTTGTCATTTCCTGTCATTTCCTGTCAAATATTGTCGTATATTGTCAAATATTGTCGTATATTGTCCTATACTGTCAAATTTGGTCACATTTTGTTAAATAGTGTAAAATAGGGTAAAATATTGTCGTATGTTGTCATATATTGGCACATATTGTCAATTCTTGTCGTACAATTGTCATGACATTGGGCACTCTCGGTTCCTGCCCTTTTTGAGAGAAATCATAATTAAATAGGAACTAACGGTAAAATAAATTTAACACAGCAATCTTTTTCCGTTTGTTCAGAAGTTATAACTTTATAATTGAATAGGTATTAACGGTAGAATCGAATTAACATTTCAATCAACAAAATTCTAATTAAAAACCGGAAGATGCCTAGTTATATCGTTGCCTATTCCCAGAACGTTGTGCCCCAGAGCATTGCGCTATGGAGACTCGTGCAGCGTGATACAGCAGGGTCAGTGTTAGAGTTAGGGGCTAGGGCTATGGTTGGAGTTAGTGTTAGGGTTAGGGTTGGGTATTAGAGGTTCTGGGATAGGACGACGTTAACAAAACATTTAAAAACCGAGTATTTCATTAAAGTTATCAATATTCGAAATTTAAGGGAAAACGTTTGGCAGAGTCAAATCTTTTCCAAACGCAAGTCATATGAAACGGTAAAATCAATTGAAATCCTTTTTGGCCAATGTAATGTAGCACGTCTCAAATCGATTTATTGTAAACTTGTTTATTCTGTAATAAATGGCATAAAATTGAAATTTTTGTTTTTAACTGAAATCATGTAATCTGAACCACAACAATAAATTGTACACGAAATTAATTTTTCATCAGACAGGTGAATCATGCAATTACTCAATTAACATGGTGGAAATTTTTTTAACAGTAGGAAAATATTTTGCATCACTTCAATAATTTAGTGAAGGTGGACAAATTATGGAAAATAACTTGATTTTTTTGGATTTCTAAAAATCTATGGCATGCAGCTACAAGACTACGACAGATGGGATCCAAGGGATCAAAATCAAGATCTCTCACAAATGCACTGATGTGCAATAAAAAGTCTGTACTGTACTCCTCCGAATGGTCCAAGTATGATCCAACAAAGTCTAGGACCATCTGCATAAGATTCCTCACTCGTTCTTCATCTGTGGAGCAGCCTTCGAACATGGGTGAATCAGGTTCTAAAACCTCAAAAATCTTATGTGGACAATGGTGGCAAATTGCCCAAGTACCCCTTAGCTGATCAGCAATAGCACCACCATCATAATATTGCTCTCCATCTTCCAATTCAAAATCCCCTTTCACGGTATATTTCATTCCTTGATCTGAAATTTCTACAGTTGACCAAAAAGATAAATTGGACTCCACAATTCCCCCTTCAAGCACTGTTGGACTTACATCTTCTATAGCATATGCAATAGCCTTCCTCATCATGGGATAATGCATCTGATGATAAATGTTTTCTTTATCTTTAGCATCATGATAAACTGTTCTAAGCTGGATACATCTCTCCATGATCTTAGGTAAAAAAACAACCAATTTCTTCATTATCTTCTTATTGTCCTCAACATGAATTAATTCAGACATAACTTTGAGATATACCATCATTGTATCGTGATTCTTAAATGTGGTCAAAGCTTTTCCTATGCATGGTACTAACTCTGTTTCCAGAAGAGCTTTTAACTGGGAATTGATGCATCCAAGTTTATCATCATAGAAACGAGTCAGTCTCATAGTTACAATTAGGAAAAGTCTTCCAAACTCATGAGCAATAGACAAGTCGGGTGATGGAAATGATTCCAAGTTGAGATTACTTGTTGCAGTTATGTACTGAATAAGGAAAGGAAAACTAGCGATAACTTGGTCAATCAATGTCAAAAGGTGTTCATTAGCGATTTCCTGGACTAATTTACCCATGCTGTTGGAAATGCAACCTATGACCATCAAATGCTGCCTTTCCATGGAGGTGTGAAATTGCTGTATGACACTTACCCAGGTTGGTATAAGTTTCATTTTCAAAACTTCATTCATAAAGTCTTTCTCAAATCCGGTCCATTTGTTCATAATCAGACAAGAGATGTTAGTAGAGGCCATTAATAAGGACTTCCCCTCAGATGAGAGTTTGCAGTTGGCCTGTCTCATCGATTTTATAAAATATGGTATGACTGGACGAAAGTTTTCGATTTTGATGAATCTTAACTTTGATAATAGGCTTAATGACAATTGTAAGAGCTCAGTGGTTTGTGAGATGTTCTTTTGACCTGAACGAAATTCCCAAAGACACAAGTCTGAAAGACTCTTGCACAATCTTTGTCTCTTCAAGAAGATATGATCAATTTCATTATTGCCAATAATCACATAATTCTCTATGATTTTTAAAGCTCTTAAAGCAGTTGCTCTATCTTTTTTTGACCCTCCCTTCCAATTCAAGAATAACACCTTAATCAACATTGGCGTAATCAATCTAAGCTCATCAACTATCTTCTTACATGGACTGTTGTAGACGGTATTTTCATCAATTTGTATCACACCAAGAAAAACATCAGTGAAAAGGAACGAAATTTGAAGGACATCCTTGTCTTGAATATTCTGAGTAATAAGCTGAGCCATTTTACGCACAGTTCCATCCTGCACATGTGATCTAACCATGGACCGACAGTAATCTGTTCCTAACACTCTGATAAAGTATGAGTAGTTAAGGAAGGTATACATGAGAATACGATAGCAATCTCCTAGTTTATCTGCAGCATTAACTACAATAGAGATTTTTTCGAAAATTTTTGACTTGTAATAGATACTTCTCTCGTATATACCAGTATTTTCCAAGTTTAAACGCACGTAATTTGTTAGGGTATTGAGAATTCCGTTCCAACTTTCTTGTTCAGTTGCATCAGAGAAAACTTCAATTCTGATTAGAAGATTAGTAAAAATTCCCTTTTCCATTAGCATTACCAATGATTTGTAATGTATACTTTTTGGAACTTGAATCTTGTTCTCGACAAGTAGATCCAAAATCCATAAGATCTTCTTGAAACATGTAACATCCTGCTCATATTTCAGACAGTCACTAAGCTTTTGAGCAATTCTAGAATCTTCGGCAACCTCCAAGATGAATTCTGAGATTATAAACCAAATTATATAATATCATTTCACTATATTAAAGATGTATACGTAATATAGTACATACTAGTAAACATGTGATCACAGGGAAGGTTCTAATCACACCCATTAACAGGGTTATAATCAAGAATATACCATACACATATTATACATGCATGGCGAACAGTTTTATAGAAGGAAAACATCTTTAAACTTTTTAATTAAGTGTTAGAAACCTTTTCTTCGCTCCTGGTATTGAGACGGTGGGGCTTCCAGTGCCTGCTTGGATCCAAGGCATCTTGTCAAGTCTCTAAAGCCTGAATCCAATCCAACAAACGGACTCTGGGAATTTATAAACAGCTGTATGGCATCCTGTAATTCTTCACTTGTAACATTTTGTGGGCATCCACATTCCATTGTTTCATACTGCAATTAACTAAATCAGATATCGTGTTTGAAAAGATACATGGCTACGGTAGGAATCATTTAGCCATATTTATATCCTTGAACCACACAATATAAACTAATTCGTGTTTTAGTGTAGACTTTTTGTCACAACAAGACTGCAACCTATAGTAACATTAACAACTACAAACAGAACCCTAATGTCTACAAACAAATTTCTTCTAGTCCTAATATGAGCCTAGTCTCTAAAAACCTAACTGAACTAGCGTTTCGGTGTGTGCAAAAGCTTTCAGGCACGCGCATTCCTTGCCCGTTAGTTACCTGACCTTCCAAAACCAAACTAGCAGTCAAGGACAAAAAGTCATACACCAAATGGGCATTATATTATTATTATATTATATATATATGGGCATTATATTATTATATATTATTATATTATAAAGTTATATTTTTTATTAAAAAAAAAACTTTTGTTTTATTAATATATTTTATGAATTGTTTTACATTTTTTTATTCTGTAAAATGTGCTAAAATTAAATTTATTCTTTCAAAAATGTCTTGTTTCATTGAGATAAATTAATTTCAATCCTGTAAGAAGACCTTCTCTAATCTAAAATAAACAATAAAACAGAAAAAAGAGTTTCCTTGTTTATCAAAATTTTTGATCGGCAATCTGAATTCTGAAATCAGCTTTAGGTTCATACTTCGAGTGTCATATCATGAGTTGTGTTTTATTTTCTTCATCAACGATTCCTGTAGCTGCCTCTACTATGTTTTACTTTGACGGATGTTACTCGTCTAAATTTCTTCGAAGTAGCGCACGCTGCTTTCTTCTCGGAATGGCCCGATGGCACGTGCTACGAAGTAGCGCGCGCCGGGCCAGGCCATTAACAATGGTCAATGTTTTACTCATGGGCCGAGC